GCACCACAAATAACTGGGTACCCACATCAGGTTGGAGAAACCTTCAACAGACTGACATTTCACCCAGGGAAATATTGGAACAATATCAGACCTAGGGAACTTGAGATAAACACAAGCTTGAGCGACCATACTAACTTATCATGGATTTGACTGAACAATACTCACAAAAACTCTAACAATAAGTACTTACAGATGCCTATGTTGTTATATAATGCACTTCAAAGATAATGCAAAGTTGAAAATTCAGACAGTACATGAGCAGGAAATCTTGAGCTACTTACATATTGAAGTTATAATGCCCAGGGTAGTTGCTGTGTAGTATGAACTTCTTAGCACAGTGAGTGGAAGCATCAAACAAGATATCCTATGAACACAAGATTGGGCCAGTTAATACTGAAAGTATCATCAGAAATTCAAGAGAAGTTAGCTCAATTATCGATGTTTGAAGACATGTCTTTTTCCTCAAAGTAACACTGATATCGCGGTACATACCACTCCTATGGTGAAGTAGTTGAAGAAATAGTCAGAGGTTCTGGGTTGGTCTTTGTGGAATGTCTTGGAATGGATCCTCATCTGAAAGTCAATGCAGATAATGCAAAACAAGAGAAGAAAATGAACAATTAATGTGAAATAATTAATGTGAGGACGGAATGGCAGCATGGGTAAGTAAGTAAATTTGAAGGTACATGTATTCAATGGCTCTGACGGCCTGCGATCACATACAACATGAGGCTGAACACTGTTTTGAAAATAATGCCACATAATGTTCTACAACATACTGAGCTAACGTTTAGTGCCAATTTGACACAAGCATTGTCACTTTCTTCAAGAAATCAAGTATTTAAGACTTGAACTTAATGTTTGACGAGTAATGGACATTTTCTGCACTAGCCTCAGTATCACAATATTTCAGCTCATTTGAAGCGAGGTATGTCTTATGATAACCAAATGTATAAAAGGGGGAGATGACAACTATTTTTAGAGATACTGAAGAATCTAGCATGTCTAGTGTGCACCTGTTGCCAATGTCTGCACTGAAAGTGGGAAGGGAAATGTCCCTTAATTAATGTGGTCTTTCCCAAGAAGATAGTCCACTGTGAACCCGAAACCCATGTGTACAACCTGAATACTGGCCGTACACAGCAACCATTTTTAGGAATGCTAAATCAAACAACTATGAGCTCTCATTCTGTATGGGTGTTTCTTCTACCACCCACTTCCTTTGAGACATCAAGCCAATTAGGAATCATACCTTGTCCTCAGACTTGTAGAAGACCTTGCTGGGACATCCAAGGGCACTGATTACATCCTGGGTGGAGTCTCCAAACTGAAGCATCTTGGTGACTGGACGATGTTTGGACTCTGGTGACTTGCCACCCCCGGGACCTATCAAAGGTTTACATGGGTTACAGTAAAAACATGTTCTGTTTTGTTTTTCAAGTGAAAACAGCCACTTAATAAAGTCTAAAGCTCCCACATAACAAAAACCATTGCGGGCTCGGGAGATGGTTTGGGAAGGGAAGGGCGGTTTACATGAAAGGTTTGTTGTATGGAACCTATCCACCTAGGATATGAGGACAGTGACTGACATATGTATTAATCTGAAGTCAGAAAGGAAAAAAAGACTAATTGCTGTTTTTTATAAATGCAACTCACCATCAGTCAGCAGAGAGAATTTCAGACCAACTGGTAGTCCGTCTTCATTGATTCCCTCTACTGCCTCACAGAAGACATTTCCGCAGAAGGAACTCACAGGAATTGGCGGCCGCCTGAAGAAATATCACATAGTGAACCAATTCAGTTCACAATTTCTCAATGGTGTTTCTTAAGTGGATGAACTCTGAGTCAAGAAACCCCTCAACGATGACAAAGACAGGTGACAGACATTGGATATGCCAGTGATACCAAGCATGGCTGGTGTTGATAAGTCCCCATTCAGAGAAATGCTTGCTTGGGCAATCCATACTGTGTGTATGACAATTGGTGCACTTTGTTTCAAACATTCTCACTCTCACCAACAGGCTACACAGCACCAACTACTGCTCTGTCAACGTCCATAAGAAGGCACAGACATCATGACACGGAAGACAAAGTGATGAAATCAGAAACATAAATTCTGCCAAAATATTTGACCAGGAGAATCAAAGGCCATGATGCACATATCCTTAGTTTTATAACTTTATTGGGGGCTTGGTTTTTTTTTTACCTGTCAAATTAGTCACCCTCACTGATACAGGAACTCACTGGTATTGTCTTTATTTGTATCATTCAAATACTACCATTCAATGAGTCCAATTTTGCACAGAAAGACCCATATGCATGCATAAATCTGGGGTCCACAAGGATGACAATGGTTCTTTGAGAGAAACTAAAACCTATAGGCTGTTGTATACTCATGCATTTTTCTGTACTTGCATTCATGACAAAGTAAATGACAAACTGTAGATCAACAACCATCCAGGATTATCCTCTTTGCTTTCACGACCACTGGCAGTGGAAGTGGGTTAGCCAGGGGGCCAGTGGCCCCTCACTTTTTCAACTGGGGAGACCTGCCCCCCCTGCACTGTTTTGCAGGTCCTATAATTGGTTGAGGCTGAATGGATTGAACTATAAATGGCTGATGCCTGATGGTCTAACAACTGGCACCCCCCCAATTCCAAAATCATTCCACTGCCAGTGATCATGACACACTGAAAACACCCTTGGTTTTGTTCAAGGCAACGTTTTCTCAATTTTAACGACCTTGAATCTTCCAAAATTCAGCATCTGATCCCGCAGCCTGTTGATTGAATCAGGCCGTACAACCCAGCCACTGTTTTTTGGCATGGGACTTGATGTCCTAAATCTCTCAGAGTAAAATAAAGTCAACGGTGTAGTGCTGGACTTACAGAGGATTTGGAACCATCCTATCAAAAACTGCTGCAGACTTGAGGTCAACGGGTACGTGCCAATTTCAAACTCACTTTGATTCAGCGAGGCTGCTTCCGGTGTAGATGTAGATACGACTGACCAAGACAGAATTCTTACTGGGTAGGGGGATGGATCCCAGGCCATGAACACTTGGCTGTTGAAATTAGAATCAACTTTGTACAAAAATGATTTCATACAGCAAGCCTGTCACAGTGGCTTAAGAAATTATTCAAAAAACAACCCCTATAAAGAAAGATTTAGGGGCTCCCTCTCAATCTGTTCAAGCACAGTTCTGTCAAATAATTCTTGTCCAGTTTAATGTTTCAAAATGATTTTATGAATACAAATGTAATTTTTTTCCAATCAAAAAGTTTTTCAAGTGTTGTGTGGAGATTTTAAAGTAACAGCAAAATCAGGTCAAATTTTCCTAACTGAAAAATGGTCCGTACAATCCTCTATACTTCATGAATAAAAAATGGTCCATCCACGGGTGAAGACAAATTTACACACGCCTATAAAAAAGAACGATCACCCTTCATACTTCAAACTTTGCATCTTCTGCGATGGGGAAGAGGAAAGATAGACCACGGAAGTTGATGGAGAAGAGTTGTTGCTGGGCATCGTACACGGCTGGCTTGGTGGCCCCAAAGGAACTGTCCACTTGTTCAATGGTTGGCTGGACGTAGGGTGAACTGAAATGCTTTCCACTGTAACATTAATAAACCAAAGAGTTTTTAGCAGCTGTAATTTCAAGGAGCTGCTGAGAGGAAATGACTGCTTACCAAATTCAAATGTTAAGTAAAATTCCACAGGGTAACAATTGGACGCAATATACTTTACATCCATTTTTGGCTGGTAACCTGATTCTGCTGAGCCAATCTGTTCTGCACTTAGCAGACTCCTGTGTCTACTTGTAGCTTAACCTGTCAGCTGATTAGATTACAACTGGACCATTTGGGTCAAAAATCTTACTTCATTGAACTCATAACTCAAATCATTACTTTTAATAGTGAACCTAATCGATCAGGGTTTTTAGTCCAAATTTATCTGTATTATAGTTTCCATAAGTACTGTATTTACATATTTGTACCTGTTCGGTATCTTATGGCATGATTCCAACATCAGTCAATCGTCTTTTTGTTTCTTTCTAATTCATGGTAGTGGATTACTGTTTTCAAAGGGAAGTCAAGTCAGAACTATAATGCACGATTGCCCAATCCAACAGATCGGCTAAACGTGTCCAACATATACATGTACATGTATTCAAGTCATAATAAATGCATGTCCAACATTTTGAGATTTGACGCTTTGCAAGGTGGAGAATAGACTAAGTAGACGGCTTGCAACGACACCATATGGAAAGATCTCTTTTAGAAGAGGTGTGGTTCTGATGAGAACTGGTGACGTTTCGGACCAGTGTGCTCTGGTTGTCCTCAGGGGCGTTCTCTTCAATTTCTGAGATGTTACTAGCTACACTCACCAATACTTCAGTTTGACTTTGCTGAGGTTGTATACCTCAATGACCTGTGGAGAAGACAATATTTGATGCACTATTCAGAACCACTCTGGAACACTCTTCTAATTATACTAGATTTGATTTTTGGAACAAGGAATGAGACCACCGCATGAGCTGATTTTGGCAAGAAGTAACGTTTCCATGCAGATGGCTTTCTTATTTGCTTTAAAAAGTCTGATGGGGTCCAGGGAATGTTCATCAGCATTTTTTTGAAAGAAAAGCCTCAACAGCCCAAATCAATTGTTATGACTGTTAAGACCCTTACCAACCTCATTATTATTTATAATTTGTGAATATAAAGACATATTTCAAATTAAAAACTGGAAATTAAAGGTAATGATATTTCCATTATTTGAAAAACTTACATATATTTGTTTACAAATTATGAATAATGAAAGTAACAGTGTTATCAATTTTCCACTTTCTGCCAGTTGGTCAAAATGCTCTCTTTCACTGGCAAGTTTTTTTACTTACACGTAGGCGTTGCATGTGTGAATCAAAGATGAGACGTATTCCATCTTGGACAAGATTTAGCACTAGATCAATGGCCAGGGGGACCAACTCACAGTAGATAACCTGCACGTCCTTGATGATGCGACATTGACGACGTAGGATGTTGACTGCCTGCGAAAATGGCATTCCTGATGGGGCCAAAGTTAAGATACATGTAAAACATTGCTGGCATTGCCGAATTCATACTCATCATTAAAAAAAGAAGTGCAGTAACCCAGTGACTGGGTCTACTATTTATCCTTCAAAAGAATTGTAGAAAGTCCTCCTTGGTTGGATGGAACACACAAAATCATTACCACGTTGATGTATTTGGCATGACTGGTTGGTCAGCACAGTTGATCAACTGTTGTTTTGGGTGTGATTGGTCAATCTGCCTGATCACTTGATCTTTACGTGATCTGTCAATATTATTCTATGATTGGCGGAACAGTTCTCCTATCAAATAGGTGAGTTGATGACAACCATCTTGGCATAATTTTCCCTTTAACAATCTTCTGTGGAACTAGCTTTTTAGCAATGTTGTTTAGCCCGTTTCTGAAGAAGGTCCAGTTTAATTCAACAGCATTTTGATCTGGGTAACTTTGAAAGAAATCTTCCTTCAGTTCTACTGCAGCTGCTCTAAAGTCACTTCCTCCACATTTTTTCGATTCAAGATCCTTGGTGGTTTGTAAGAGGAACAGCTTTGATGGAGATATCAGCAAAAACAATTTCATGCTTGACTGATCGCGCCCAACATCCACACATACATTTTGTTGTAGGCCTGTACCATATAGGATATGGATATAGCATACCACACTGAATGTTGGTCAAGTCGTCCCCAAGTCAAGTCGTCCCAGGTCAACTCGTTCCTGAGTCAACTTGTCCCCCAGTCAAGTCTTCCCCCGTATACATAATTAAATTAAAATTTTACAGCGGCAATTTATTGGGGGGGGGATAATTTTTTTCTTTCAAGTTTTTACTGCGGCGATGAATTTTTTTGTGGGTGGGGGTAATATATTTTCATTTTTACTTATCAAGTTCTCACAGCAGCAACTAATTTTTTTGGGATGATTTATTGCATTTTGTACTTATGTTTTTACCGCAGTAATTTATTTGGGGGGTTACTAATTTTTTTTGTACTTTTCAAGTTTTTGCTAGGGTAAATTTATTTGTTTCTTTTTTTCTATTGGGATTTTTTTCTATTTTATATAAGTTATTTTTCTTTCATTTAATAATCATTTATCAGAAAGGACTGAATAATCTCTTTTGAAAGTGTTCTAAAAAAGAGCCAGTTGGTTTGATGATTCAGGCCTGGTTTGCCAACAGCGATGGTCTAGTGAGATGCTTGCATTTGGAAAGGAGACCACACGTCCTCAGCTCGCCCACTTGGTAGCGCTCCCAGAGCAGAAACAGCCGTCCCTGCATTGGAAGGCCTCAAGGATGTGTTGGTAGAAATGGCAGAGACATCAACTGCCTGATGAAGTCGTTCGCCGATGCATCTGCATTGTAAGCTGCCTGCAGGCCCAGCTCTTGACACTTCCGCCAGACAGCCTGGGTCCAATGGTAGAGACAGCCGTGAATGTGCACGTCACCAAAGACGGACCTCACTGCCTCCCAAACGGCGGATTCAAAGTCCACGACCACTTTGCGGAGACTGCTTGCATGTTAAGGAAGCACTATTCCTTCACTTAAAACAACCCAGTCAAAATGTTAACTGATTTTCCTAGTAATTCAAAATAACTAAAATTCATTTCCGCATTATCGATTTCATAAAGTTTTCAAATAAACTGGAAATGATTACTGGAAGATTTGAAATTTAAAGATGTTCAAATTGCTTTGACGATTCAAAGAATAGGCCTATGTGCTGTTTCATTGGCACACACTGGGAATCGCCTTTTTAATAAATGTATATATGTGGCACGTCTTGGTTACCGCAGATATTAAAAGCTGCCAGCTAGCTCGAGCTGCGTAGAACGAATGAAAATTGTGAGTACGTGTACGAGTCTCTGTCTTGGTTTTCTTTCTCTTCTACATACCGGTACATTGTTTGGTTGATGCACCTACAAAGAACTTGAAATTACATGCACGGACAAAACTTGTAAGAACTAGTGGGACGATTTGACGCGGAGGCAATTTGACTTGGGGACGACTTGACTCGGGGACGACTTGACCCGGGGACGACTTGACCCATTTCCTACCAAACTTGATAAATCTTTACCATGATTACTTACCGAGTACGAATTCCCAGTTTTCACTTCCGAGGGATCGGCCCGGAACGACTTCTAAATCCAACATTTTGCACCTACACCATACGACAGTACATGTATGTAACAGATCAATGCATCACCGATGCTGACAAATGAGTAGGCTACTACTTGGCCAACTGAAGAAATTTTTCCGAAGTCGACCAAGACTACTGACGTTACTAGGCCCTATGCAACAAAAAATTGTTTACGTTTTCTGATAATGAAACAGCTGTAATAAGGGCATGCGCAATATCTTCTTTCCCCCCCCATGACAGTGAGTACGGTAGCCACTAAATACCACAATGTCAGGAAAAAAATCCTCGTCTACTACATTTTGGACCATGGAGGCATTTCTTCATCCATGGTAGTACTAAGAAAGGACCACAATGTCATCCTGGATCTTGGTTTGTTAAACAAATTGGAGTACAGTTATAGAGCCAAATCGCCGAAATCGGAGATGAAAAATTTAACTTTGTAAAAAAAAAGTTGTTTGACATACACTCCCCGAAAGAAGGGAGTGGCACGCCAGGCACTGAAGAACTCTTCGGTGCCAAATGTAATATAATTGTGGTCGACTTTTTCTTTGCTGATCGAAAGATTGATCGATCAACAAAAATAAAAGTTGACCGGTTACTCCAGAAATTGAACGGCTGAAAACTGTTCAAAATTAAACACTGTTAATCTTCGATCGAATTTGAAATTAATTGCATATAGGAAGGGAAAATGTTATTTTTAAATACATATCAATATATCCGATACTTTATATGATTCTGTTTTCGTAAAATACTGGTTTGAAAAAAGCGAAAATCTTTCAGTTTATTTCAAGAATTCAATATCAATTATTAACTTAGAATTTCGACTCCCATATCAGCAGTGCGGCTGACGTTACATTACAAGCTCCTTAGTGTATTTTTGCATGTAAACAATAGAGGGCGCTAAACAGTAACACTGTTGACTTTCAGTCATCATTCAAAACCGGTACCCACACAGAGCTGCTCCATGCAAAACCCAAGCCAGCTTGCTGTATAGTTGTACGTACGTTACGTAGGGGACGGAGCTGAGTGGGCTATATGAGGTGTCTGGAAATTTGAAAAAAATTGTCTCCCGACAGACATGACAAAAGCCCTCCTTACTTAATGTCGTTCGTTGACTAAAACATCGTCAGTGTAGCAATGGAGCAAAGGCCGGAAACGCCCACCGTGAGGGAGAGAATTCCGCGGTCGAAATCGCTGATTATGCCAACGATTGCAAACCCGTTTGTGCACAGAATTAAACTGAGTATTTGGGATAAAATCAGGGTAAGTGCGTTATTAACAAACATGTTCATCACAGTCATGCCTGTTTAGGGCCTATGTAGCCTACCTCCAGAACTGTAAGGTTTGTGAAAAACCTCACAGTCACAGTTCTGGAAGTAGGTTTACCGTTTACTCTGCCATCTCTGTGTAAGTTTACATTCACTTGGCTGGTTACCGTTTACCATGGTTAACTCTGCCATCTCTGTGTAAGTTTACATTCACTTGGCTGGTTGGTTTACAGTCACTTTGCCCCATTTCCATGTCGCCCCAAACCACTTCGCCCCTATTGGATTAACCCACTTTGACCCATCTCCACATTGCCCTATTCCCACTTCACCCCATTCCCACTTTGCCGTCCGTGAGTGTGTTACAAAAATACTGGCCTCTTCAAAAAATGGTCGAGAGGCCTAGATGGGAGTTCCACAAACGACATGTAGTTATAGAAATCCCTACAGCATTAAGTTAATGTCGACTGTGTTGTCCATTATGGTGAATTAAGACATATGGTTGGACTAGCACCGGGGTTATTTCTCATCACCTACATGTAGTATGTACGGTCACCGTGGCATGAATAGACTGGTTGCCACACTCCATTACACATTCTCTTATAGTACGGGTGCGGCACAGCGGGAACCAGCGCTTTGCTCACATTTTTACCACAGCGACAATGAAACACGAATAAAACTTTTTTTCTAACTTGCCGATAAAAATTTTAGGGTCTCGACGAAAAATTTGGGTCCGGCGGTCGGGAAATTGGAAGCATTGTTTTGGCCTTTGAAAGTTGGATTCTCCAATTGTTATTTGGGTACTCAAACGTTGATGTTTTTATTTGTTGCATCTAGGCCAATGCCTCTGTTACTAAAGAACAGAATGAATGATAATCAATGGGGAAGTACAAATGGGGCGAAGTGGTTGGGGCGAAGTAGAAATGGGGCGAAGTGACCGACACCTGACTGGTTAAACCATAGAGCAAGGTAAGGAAATGAAGATACTGTTATTACAAAATGTTTCAAGTGGAAATAAAGTGAAAATGACGTGAAGTAAGTATTGTGCCGGGTTGTTTCCCGCGCCCAACCAGAGTTCGAGGGGTCAAGGTTGAAACTAGTTAGGGTCTTGACTCTAGCCTAAACACACGTTCTTTCTCGGTCCAGATAACTGAAGATATCACTCAGAGTGACCTAAAGGCTAAGCGAGCAAATCCGTTTTGGTGGAAATATACGGCCGATTATGATGACTGTGGTGCTCTCTGTCAATACGGCAATACACAGCAACAAGAACACCAGACAATTAGATTGCCGGTAACCTCACAAAACAGTGAGATTTATTCAAACATTCACAAGTAATTACTTGACTAAATGATTGCTTTGTGTGGTCTTGAGGAGGGGCTTAGCAATACACAGCTAATATTGTACTCTCGTCACACAACTGGGTCATTCCATGAGGTTGGGGCACAATTTGTGATGGTGTCCTTGTTACATGGGTAACTTTTAAGATTTACCGTCTGTTATGACCTGTAGAGTAGGTCATTTACTATGTAAAAATACATGTAACTCACACCTCTGTATTCCGCCTTGCGAGATGTAAAACAATGTCAATTTGGAATCCACATTCAGGGAAAAAGGGGAAAAAGAAGCTCATTTTTACGGAACCCACGGAACAGTTGGCACTGGCACAAATTGTGCCCTAGCCTCATGGAATGACGCAAGTCCTCTGTATGTATATGACATGTACAAACCAATGCCGCATCACATGAATGCTGTCAGCAATGCATGTCCACCAACGCTGGACCCAAGTCGCACTGCGCACCTCAATGTTGCACTGCCTAAACAATATCGCATTGCATAGCCAAGTGTCACTGTAGTGATACGGCCCGCATGTACCAAGCACCACAGCACCGTGGGCCCAGCCCAAATCTACTACATGTACAATGCACCAGCAAGTACATGTACCCCTCCTAATTAACACAACATCAGTGCAATTTCCAGGGCTAGATCTTTTGACAACTACATGTAGGCCTGTGTGTAATGTATGTGTGGAAAAGAATGGTAGAACTTCACATTCAGTGACAATCATTTGAATTTATTTTAAAAGCAAGGTTTTAAACAACTACATGTATGGGGCCTACATGGTAGGGCCTACAATGGTTTATAAAATTGGTTTTTTAATTGTTTGTACAACTTAAATTAAAAAAATTAAATGTCATGTTTTATCAGTCCTAAAGAAGTGTTCAGGGAAGTAGAGTAAATCATGCCTTGTAAAGAGAAGCCAAATTTTTATTACTAGGCCTATTTATTATTAATTTTTGCTCATGGCCAAGTTAATTCCGAAGTTACAGCACTCGCTTTCCAAGGGGTCAAAATGGGACCAAAATTCTACCTAAATGATATCTTGGTATAAGACTTGGGTACATTCATTTAATTTTCCTACCTTAGTACTAATGGTGGAAAGAGTTCCACAAATGGACAACACTAAATTTGCTATAAAATGGTATAACAGCCATTAGATAGTTTTTCAGACAAGTCTCATAGGTTTGTGCACAGGGGCATCAAGTGTCATCTGGGAACTTTTTCCCTAATGGTTAGCACAACTCTTCCTTCCTTGACCTATTTCCCAATTGAAGCAGAGGAACTACATGTATGTTCATTGTATTTCAGGTTCTGTCTTTTTTTTCAGCATGAAAATTCAACCACATTTGCAATATCTAATAGCTACTTCAGCATAAAGTTTATAAAGCTTCCCGAATGATGTCCTTACATGTAAATGTATGTCCCATTCCAATGCCCAGTATACATTGTTAAATGTCCCCTCACCCTGAAAAAAAAACCTGGCAATGCCCATGGTAAAGGGCCGTTTTAGAATTTCATCGTATTTTTTCAAAGAAGGAAAAAGTCTTCAAGTCATCTCCTTGGCTGATAATGTTTAGAAACAAACAGTGATGCCTTCAGGGCTTCATTTTAATAAATACGAGGAGAGCTAAAAGTTGCTCTCCTTAATTCACTTTGTTGATTTAAGGAGAGCGATTAAAAATTGCTCTCCTTAAATCAACAAAATGAATTAAGGGGAGCAATTTGCTCTTGCTAACAAAAACCAAGTTAATGTAAACATACTCAATAAAATTAACACAATTTAACTTCTTTTACTGAGTTCAATGAGTTAACCTTAATCAGTAATGGGTCAAGCAGCAGGGGCTCTAGCCTTTGATCAAGGCGCACGCAGCGAAATGGATTGTAGACATGGACTTACATAATATACTAGCCCGACTAGTATATTAATATACATGTACTACAATAATATATTTACTTACGATCTTAATATACTTACGATAATACCGGTATACCGGTACTAGGATGACGTCTTCATTACATTGCGACTTACATCCAGGTTATACAATTTTGTCCCGGCCATAGCAAAAATTCACAGATCGCATTTTTCCCACTTTTTTTTTTACCTGACAGAGCTTGCTGAAATTTCGTCTAAATGTTCCTTATGCCAAAAATCAGTCAACGCAGTGGTTATGAATCTGTAAACATGTCCATGGTTAAAGTATTTGCAGAAAATTTTATCGAAAATCGTCCGATGTCGCTCCCGTTCAAACTTGCTCTGTGCGTGAACTTGCTCGATCCACGGCATCTACTGCATGTTTGGGGGCGTGAATGTGGGTTCGTCATGTAGTCTTTCATTGCACATTGGTTTGGTGGACGTGGGTGCATAACTTGACTAGTCTCCTCGCTCGCCTGACAATCCATTTCGCTGCAGCTACTGGGGCTCTGAATTTACTGCGCATGTGCATCCTTTCTTTTTGGTATTTTAAAACGTATTGCACGTCCCCTGCAGATTGTATTCATCATCCCTTCCTGTGCTCACAATACTACTTTGGCCAGTGCATTTTCATATAGAACACCGGGCACATTACCTGCCAGAGACTTTTTTCTTTCCTGTGGCATACTTTCTGTTCTCGCCAAGCAAACGTTGTTCTCACGCTTGAACCACATGAACACCCTACGGGATCACACACCATCTTCAGCCACTACAGGGTTTTTCACAAACTGACTTCTGCTGTTCACAAATGGCCGAAAATGTAGCGCCTGAACTCGATCTGTTCTGGGAGAGAGGTCGGCCAGGTGTGGCCACGTGCGTCCATGGAATTCCGTAGGCTCGCCCACGTGTGCTATCATGTTTGTGTGTTGCGATGCGGGATTCAAGCACGCGCGCACAACTCAGAGACTTTGATCACCAGCCCTTGTGTTTCATACATTCAATCTTTGGACTCATTTGCTACTGTCGACCCAACGAGATTCAAGGGGCTTGTTATAAGTCAGCATTTGCTGGTTTGAAAAAAAACCAAGCTCTCCTTAAATTTTTAAGGAGTGCTTTTTGTTGCTCTCCTTGGAAAACATTAAGGAGCGCGGAGGAGCGCGGAGGAGCGCGAGCACGATTGCGCTCCTTTAAAATGAAGCCCTGATGCGTTGTGGAAGTTATGCACCTGTTGTGTTAAAAAGGTTAAAAAGTTGGGCTTTCCTGTCAGAGACTCATGAAATGTGATGAGAAATTACCGAGTATGCTTCAATCCTAATCAAACTTTTATTTATTATGCGATTTTTCACCTTCTCTGACCGTTTTTTCTGGTGATTCAGAGTTTGACGGTTGAAAAGTTCATCCAAGATTAAGTGCATTTAAATACATGTGCGGGTACAGTATACAGAAGGGCATAGCATTTGTCCCTCTTTCCATTGCTGCAGTGCATATTGAATTTTGTTAAATGTAGCTCAGAGACACCATGGTGTCATTCTTAAGCTTACCTGCACTTTCCCTCTCTTTTCTGTTGTATCATCTAACTTTAATCTTTTGTCAAGTCAAATAAAAATAAAGTTCACGAGTGTTTTCAGTGACCTGACCTAACTTAAAATTCATGCTGAACCAATACATGTATCTTTTTCTGAAAGTTGAATTTTTTTATCCCATCCTGATGATTAAAAATGTGTTTACTTAATTTTTTTTTAGCTAGTCAGTTTTAAAAAGGTGGCTCTCACTGGGTTGTGCTACCATCCCCTTCCTAAATCCAGCCATTCTTCAACTATTCAACTCTTGTTTCAAGTAGGAATTATTGCACTCTTTACTGACACATTTTCACTTGTAAATTGTGAATTCTTACAAATGCCACAGTCAAAAATTATTGGGCATTATCCCATCTTCTTATTTCTGGCTGAAAAGATTTTGAGCACAAGTAAAAGATTTTACCCTCCTCACATCGATTGCGTTTTCACTTTATTAAGAAACATCCCCTTTTTTTAAAATTTGGCCTCGTGTACTTGTACATGTACTAATATCTACCCCTGTGAGAAATGCTTCATTTGCTAAATTTCCTGGAAGCAAAAATTGTAATCATGAAAGTGTTCTGGGTGAAACATTTCCTCAATGAAAGTGCCCTAGTTACGCCATATACAGTGCACTGTGTAGATTGTCCAAATTTTTCTCCAGCCCAACCATAGTCAGCAAATTTTGATAACAGAATCATAAAATTCAAGGTTATAAAGTCATCTTTTCACGTTATTCTTGTTCCCACTGTAGATTGCAGTAATGTCAGTCACAATAGCTCCCATTCGAGCCATTCTAGCTGTACTCTTTCTGTTTGTCGATTGGCTCTTCTGCAGTCTCATTGTCATGGGACACAGAAAATCCTCCACAGAACAACAGCAGCCATACTCAGGTTGGCGGAGGTGAGTTCATAACAAGTGCGATTTTGAGGTCTATTTTCGGGGGTAGGAAGGATGATCATACCCACATTTCAAAGAAAGTGTGCTTTCTGTTAAATGCAGAATTGTTGTAAAAGTTTGCAAAGTTTCTGCATAGATTTGAAAATGGCACATGCTGCATGTGCGTACAGGTACATGTACATTGGCCAGTACAAAAATCAAACAAGGCAGAACTTTTCTCAAAGTTGAAGAGACAGTCAACCAACTGCGCCCGTATTCTTCAGGTACAGTTAGTGGGTACTTGCCTTTTTGATTCAACAATTTTTATTGTCTTTCCGCTCGATGCCTTTTGAACGTTTTATTATTAAGTACAAGGATTGTGTTAAACAATATCCTGCACAGTGGTGGATTTTTGAAGAGTCTTACTCCTGCGATAGCACGTTTACATGTAGGTTATTTTCAAAAATGTGCTGAATACTGCATCACTCAAAATAGTCCTGTCATGAAGTGCTGTAGAGGAGAAGGTGTGAGTGGTTTAAGCGTTCAAGTTGCGAGGTTCATGTATTTCACAATCACGCACCGATTTTCTTACATTATACATTCCCTAGCTTACTGGGTATCTCTGAGTAATGATTGAAAGGTTCTGTTTATGAATGACTTCCCCCTGGACTGGTGACTCCTTTCTTCGACACTATGCCCACTAGTCACAACATACATGTACATGTACCTCCAAAGTCCAGTTGTGCAGTCGTGCCACCCTTAAACCTGCGGTTACTTACTCACAGGTGTGACTCATACATGTATATGATGTCAGAAGAGGGAGATTTTTCTAAGGCCTGCCTCAGAGCACTAGCTTGCAACATTAACAATGATTGCAAAGAGAAGAAAATTCTCACTTTCAGGGACAACTCTCAGAATATAATTTGTGGAGAATTTAAACTCACAGAATCTGTTAGGGAATGACTGGTAATCCTGTAAATGTCACCCACTTTAACATCCCACTTGGGATTCAAACTTGGTTTACAAAATTTGAAATATGGCAAAATGTGACCATTTGGATAAGCATGATTTTGATGTGCACGTACTTGTACTTCTAGTTTAGTACAAACCTTCCTATTATTGGATTTTGTACGTGTACGTGCGCAAGCTTCACTTGCGTTCAAACTTCCTTAGATATGTTGTGTAATTCTGTTAGATGTTGGATTCCTAGTACCGTAAGAAATGTCCAAAAGGTTGTTTCATTTTTACATACAACACATTGAGCTACAACTGCACTTGTACCAGTGAGTGGTTTTGTCCACTGTGCAAGTATATGGAGATACAGTGAAAAGGTGACACTCTTCTAAATACAGTAAACAGTTATATTATAGCATGGAATCGTACATTGTAGAAAGCTTCAACACCCTTCCAAAAAAGGACCTTGAATCTAACCATAATAATGACAGTTAAATCTTTGAACGTGAAAACTTGCTTTTTTTTACTAAAATCACACTATAATGAATATAAAATCTGACTCATGTCCACATTTTTATGGAATTCCTCTACATGAGCACAACTTACATCTACTGGTACCAAATTCTTTGGGTTTTTTTCTTTTCCTGCAAGGTTCAATCCAAGGTTCAGTACTGCGTAATGCATACATGTACATGTACCATACCTGTACATGAACCTGTACATTGCTATGGACATGTATGGTACATGTACATGTACATGTGTCTTACATGTTGATCTCTGTAATATGTGGGTCATGGGTGTTACAATTTAGCTACTGTATTAGGTGACGTATTTAGGTCCATAAGTATTTACGCTTATCTGGCGATCTTCTGTTTAATGGTTGCTATGTTCAGTTACCTGTGTATATCAAACGTCAGGATCGAGTGAAAAAGCTCAGGAGTTTTATATAAAATACTGCACCTGAATGAGTAAAGTCTAAAAACTTAAATTGTCCATTTGTTACACTGATTTCTGAAGACAGCGGTTTCATTTATTCATGTTGGATGTGAAATTATTGCTTACAAGAACCTTGGCTGCTGTATACATGTACATGTATGTAGCTTTAATGAGCTGTTTATGATTTAAGAGAGGAAATTCTGTCAGGCTATAAATAAATAAGTTCCCTTGCCCTTTTGTTTGAATGACCTGATTCGTGTGGGAATTTCTAAAAATGTTTGACCAAAGTCCATACAAATAGTAGTACGTTTTAGTACATGTACTTGTTTCTTGGAATCATTTTTCTCCTCCTCATAGACCAGTTAATGGGGAGCCTTTGTGTGTGATGTGAGCATGACGAACCATTGCATGCAGGGTGATCAGCTACTATGTGCACAAGTACATGTGACCTCATGCATGGATATTCTGAAAGGTACCAAGGGTTGGCAGAGGGTCTCTGTAGAGTGAAGAGTTTAGGGCTGTCGTACGTGTGAGAGCAGTTTGCAATGGTGAATTCTTTGTGGCAAAATTTCATAGATCTATCTTACCTCTAACAGCCTTAAGTATTTCCCTAAAAATATGCTTGGGAGCCACCAAAAAGACAATGGCACTTGTACTACATGTACAGTGTAGCTGTTGGCATACAAGTTCACTGTGTCATACTTTTGCTTTATTTACAGTAATGGTACCTACACTTTTATTGTTTGAATCTCTCTTTCTCCGTCCCCCCCTTTATTTAATTTGGATTCTGGGTATCCTTTTCTTGGAGTCAACATAAACTTATAAGAAATGGCCAGTCTACCGTACATGTACATGTAATTAGTTGTCAATTGTTACAAAGAAGTTACATGTACATAAAAAGAAATAAACTGCATAGCAGTTTTGAAATTGGAAAAGAAATGGTCCAAATGCTGTGAATACAAATTGCATGTACAAAGGAAAGATCACAGATCCACAGGCTGAAGATGATTGGATTTTATAATGGAATTTTTTCCCCTTACTCTGTAGAAGCCCGGATTGCAGCAGATTTCAATGATTTTGATAAAAACTGATCTCCATCAGAAATACATGGACACACTGAGAATTTCCGGTTTATAAGTTCATTTGCAGAGAAAAGAACAAACATTGGGAATTGGAGGTGGTTTCTGTGACTTGCCTGGTTAAACATTTTGATACACTACTTGTACCACTCATATTCACTCTTGAGCTAGTCAGTGCAGTTACAGTGTCATTTGAATGGCTCACCACATTAAGCTGTGTTTGTTTTTGTTTTTCTGTTTTGTGGTTTTTCTCCCTTTCTTTCTGTGCATCTCCACAACACAGTTTGTTACGCAGATTTCCAGTGGGTTTTGTGTACCGGGCATTGTTTTTCGTGATGGGCTTCCACCGAGTGGACATACGGGGCACGCAAGCCCCACCATCGGAGGCACCCATAGCCGTGGCTGCATGCCACACCTCCATCTTTGACGGTTTGCTGTTCTACGTGATGGGGTATCCGACGGTGATTGCTAAAACGGGGATGAAAGATTACCCTCTAATTGGACGTACGTAGGTTTGACAAATCGGCGGGAAAACTGCATCATAAAAGCCAATTGATGCCTTGGAGTAATTTATAGGATCACAGCATCTTCAAAATGTTTCCGTACTTTTTTTTGGCTCATACATCTATGTTGCATGTTGATTCCGTTGTTTTTTGTTCCCTCTGCCTGAGCATGTTGGTTTTTCACATTGTCTGGTTGTCTAAGTTACGTTGTGTCCATGTATCATGCTGGTTATCAGGCAACAGTAAGATTGAGTCTTGGTATTTCTCTGAACCCAGGCAGTGAGACATGTTACAAGGGGCAGGCTTACTCTACGGAATGTATTGCAGTGGCTGATGTTCAGTCGTTTGTAACTGTGATGGCTTACAGTACATTACATGTACTACTTACGTCACCTTATTGTGGAAAAAATCTCTAGGCAGGTTTACTGAAACAAATCTGAAATACGTGTACTTTGGCTTCACTCTACTGCTTCCTTTTGCATTTTGTGTCACCAAGTTGCAGTATGTGGAGCACTGTCAAGCACTATGCGTGCTACAAAAGTGCAAGTTCAACCACCTCAATCTTACATGTTGGTCTGAGAGGAAAGCTTGCGCTGGTCATACATGGTACCTTGTACCATACAAGGTACATGTACATGTACTTTGATGTTCTTGATCTATTAGCACAGTGTAACAAAGCTAGTACTCATGAGGGACATTATACCCCCCCCCCCGGCACCCACCTTAACCTTGAATGCCATTCAATCCACGTGTGGAAATAAACCAACTCCCAAAATGCAGTCATTTGGTTGCTAATATGTAACTTGCCACCCCCCATCCCCACACTTTGTGCTACACTTTTACAGTCTTGCATGCTGCTACAGTACGCGTAAAAAGTGTGTGGTGAAAGTTCCTTTGCAGTACTGTAAGTTTCAAGCAAACTGTCCCATGTATGCAGACTAAGACCTCCCCTTCCCTCGGGAACCTGCTTTTGCCAATCTTCACAGCCTGATGTGTATCTGACCTTAGACTTCTAGGCAGCTGGTTTCTACGAAACATTATACATTAATCAACTCCAAAAGACCTTTGCTTGGAACATAATTAGTACATATTATACATGTACATGTGTACATTAATTGTGTGCTTCAACATGGTAGTCTTGCACTTGTTGCATGGTGGTAGAGATTGAAAATAAGTCTTGATAATCTTGCATGTCACAGTGGTGATGTACAGTATGTGTAGTGGTGTAATTGTGGTAGCTGCATGCTAGTGCTTTGTCTCGTTCTTCCCCCACATTTCCCCATCTGCTTTGTTTCTCAGTTAAACAATACTGTCTACATGTGCGTGCATAGATATTGTGCTTGTGTATCATGAAGGAATTGAGGACAATTTTTTTCTTGCTCTGCCCTGTTTCAGGATTGGTTGATTTTGATTAAGATGGGTCATCAAAATAGAAGAGTCAATTGTGATGTACCGGTACCAGTATGCACATTCTAGTATGCACATTCTACTGAAAGGTTCCATGTTTATTTAAAGTTGTAATTGAATAATGTAAAGCACTTTAGGCCAGTTTATACTTCAGATGAACGCTATACTGAAGTGAATTGATGCTATGAAGCATTTGCTGGAAAATTCACTGGAGTTGAAATGCATTCAACTTTGGCAAATTCACAGCCCCAGTGTTTGATTTGACAAGATTTCGCATTCCTGTTCACTTTCATGCCAAGTATGAATGGGCATTTACATGTACCTTTGCTCATTGGAGCAAGTAATTTACCTGCGTGTGTTTTCCGAGAGTAAAGTTCTCTTTTTAATATTATCTATTCAATAGTTAGGATAAATCCAGTGCGGTAGGCTTTGGCAATGTTAGTGCCTGAATGGAATTCAATCAACTTACATTTACACCAAACTCAGATGTAGGCAGGAATTAACTCTGAAGCATGGTGGTTATGTGAATCGATCTCTTAAAGTTCCCTGGGGATTGATATCCAGGCAGTGTGCAACCATTTGTAAGACTGGCTGACAGTAATTTCCCAACATTTACTGGACAAAGTCACAGTTGGGAGATGTTTGTACCAGTCTTACAGTACCTCTGTCACAGCACATAAAGGCAGGCCAATTTGAAACCACCCTGAGCATGCCAAGCTGCAACTCTGCCTTTTTCTTGACAGCATCCTTTTGAAAATGACATTCAGAGAAGGAACTTATGACATATGTTTTTGGCATATGTCATTATTTTTTGTTGTTGTTGACAAGAACTGACATGGGTAATTGAGCACATACATGTACAGTAGGATAGTTTTTGGGTCATTTTGGACGGTGTTCTCCTGCCTTGCCTAGAAATATATACACGTATATATATACATGTACATATACAGGTGTAGTTCTCAGCCTGAACATCATGCTGGCACTTTTGGTGAGTTGAAGGTAAAATATTGAGTGAAGTCTGCCACTGTGCATTAATTTTTTTTCTCAACTTTTGCATTCAGTGTTATAACTTGTACGTTCTGTGTACGTAGCACCCCAACGTGTTATCCTACTCAAACCTCAACTTTCCACACTTTTGACAGTATTGCACATATGTACTTGTACTGTGATTGGGCATCTGAATATATGTACATATAGAGTTGGAAGTCCAGAGTTTGCCCCCTCCCCCAGACTGAGAATGTGGATTTTTAACTGAAGTGGCCTGCTGTCGAGAAGACACTCAGGCAGAACTGCACAGTGATGGTGATCATTGAACAGTTGTTTATCATTTCTAACTCAAGTTCCATTTTGAGTAAAACTTTGAAACCCTAGTAAGATTTGTGCTTTCATTTTGGTTTTTTTTACATGAAAATGTCCACCTATTGTTTACCTCGTCCCCCATTCTACATGCGTGTGTGTTTTCCCCTTTTCTCCCCATGTTACAGAAGTATGCAGGATTTTGTGATGAAACTCGGCCGAGTTCATATCTTCCTCCTGGGTTTCCACTGGATCGAGATCAGAGGTGTGCGGGCAAGCCCCTCCGAGGCTCATATCCTGGTCTTGGCACCCCACAGCAGCTACATGGATGCGCTCATAGTGTTTGCGTGCCATGGGGTCGTCAGTGGGGTGTCCAGGGAAGAAAACGGGAGGGTGCCCCTGTTCGGAAGTAGGTGTTGTGAAAAGCAGGATGGCGTCAGTTCTCTGTACAGTTTGTCACTGTGTTTCTCTGTGTGGCAGCCCAGGTAGGCTTCAGCACTTGCCAGTTACCAAGGTTGCACATTATATAGGAAGATTTCAGAAGTTGTCTTTAAATATCTTTTCCTCTGTGGAGCACCGATGTGTGACATTTTGAACTAGGAAGTGTGGTGCAAATGAATGGAGTACGTGCACATGTTGGTTCACCCGCTGGTTCTTGTGCTAATGCCTATTACAAACAAAACTGTGCATGTGACATACATGTATTCACTTTCGTGCTCTATAAATTTTGGCTTTTGCACATGTGTACATCCCTTAGGTAAGGATTCTGTGCTTAAAGGGTTTGCACAGAAGTTTTCTGTTAGCGCGGTTAGCGCAGAATGGAGATCATAAGCATGGAATTCTGCGGTAAGCAGTGCCATGAAATTAGGCCCAGAACAATCATCCCACATTGTTTGAATTTCACACTTAAGCACTGATATCAAATGTTATACCCGCAAAGTCTTTATATGACCAGTCAGGCCCAACCTCTGTTTGGACATTGTGTAAAGATTTGAACAGTTTGAAACATTTAAAAAAATACCCTGAATGCCCATTTCCATGGCAACATGTACCGGTATTGGGCATGCTGTCCCCACCTCGCACTCAAACATTGCTCCATTTCTTCTGTTCCAAGACTATTAACCAGAAATAACAACCCTGGGCTGAACATGCTTTCCAATTAAATGCAAATCAGATTCATTTTGTATGAATCCTACTTGGGCAGTAATACACTTTTACACAGTAAATGTACAGAGAATCTGAGGCTGTCCGGCTGGTGTTATGTTTGTCTTGTAATGCTAACATGTGTGGAATCTGTATCACCCATAAGATCTGCTATTCCATGCATTCATTTTCACACATATTAAAGGGATCATCTGCCAACAAGGTTGGGGTGACTGCAGTGTCCTGTCTCTATCATGCGCACAGTTGCAATGAGACACATTTCATATTTCATGTTAATTTTTATTGTAATACTGGTATGCTTCTGAGAATTACAGGCCTAACCAACTTCAAAATGCACTTTTGATAACTGAAGTTTAAAATTTGTTCCAAGAGGTTAAGAGAAACAAGAAGAGTCCAGACTTGTCAACCCTTCGCTCAGTAGAACTATACTGTAACTTTCATTCTGGCAGAAAAAAGTTGGAAATCTTTCACTTGGAGGAGTTTTTCTTGCCACATCCAGTGTCCAAACTTTCTGGCCTGTAAAATATAAATTGTAGAACTGCAGGCTCTTGAAGGAACACAAGATGTACTGTATACTGTGGGAATGATATCAAACCCTGAATGTTTTTGACCTAAAAAGTTCATCTTGACTGTGAAAGTATGTGAATGTTATTGGCGTAAGTACAGCACTGCTGTATCTCTTTTTCCCCTAGAGTTGAAGGACAAGGTGCCTTCAATGGCCTGAGGATGGGGGGGTGTTTACAGGTGGAAAACACGATTTTTATTCATCAAGAACGAACTACCGGTAGGAAACGGTTGGCTATATTTGAACTTGCCAGAATTATATTCTCCTTGCTCTCTGCCAGATGTTAACCACTCCCTGCCGGGCAACCCGCTTTATATGCAGAGCCGGAGAGCCCGGAACTGGGACAAAAGAGTTGGGCCTTATAACAAAAGTCCCTGCTCAGCACAAAAGACTGAGCTGCTGGGCATTACCGACATTTTTTTGCTCTCAATAGTGGAGATAATCCAGTCTTGTTTTGAAACAGTATACCACGGTTTGAGGCATTTAGAGCGAGCGAATTACCACCGGGGAGAAAAGCTCTCCACCACCGCAGCGATGAGCCACACAGCACCGCTGCATGCTACTCTGGCCCCTATTGAAAAGAGGTCAGCAGTGCACTGTGCTGTTTTGTTTCGGGAACAAAAGAATCTTACATAACACCGCACAATCTGGGCTCTTTTTCCAAGGCTGCAGGCCTGGCTAAAATATTTAGAAGGCAATGAATTTTACCTGTCAGCTTTAGAATAGTGTCCAAAGAGTCCTTCATTTTGGTATAAACAGCCATTAAATAAAATGATGAATTTTTGAAGAATTTTGAAAACGGAAAATCTTGAAAATGAGCCGGCATCTTGTCTTGCTCAAGAAAAATCCACCCGGCAGCAAGTGGTTAAGATTTGATTTATACATCCTAATTGGATGTGTAACTATTTAACCAACTCTTAATAGAAATGTATAAATAATTTAAAAGTTTTATTTTTTATTTAGTTTTCATTTTTAATCAAATACTGTTTCACAACACACATGTATACCCAGTTAATGTACATTGTACTTCCCTGGTAGAATATGCACCTTTGTATTGTGACATGACAAGTACGGTGCCAGGAAGTTAGGGTAATGGCCATTACCCTTCAGTACTTCCTGTGCAGATATACTTGGATCCATAACACTATGGGTGGGGTTAACAGTGGTGCAAATTATCTTCCAATTGTATGCAGTAAATGGAAGCTTATTTTAAAGCAAAACTGTACACTACATGCATCTTCAACATGAAAGGTAGTGTTCAGTCTGGAGTGGATGGGTGGAAAAATAAGTAACACCATTGAAGATAGATACAGTACGTAGTGGCCTGTAGTAGTAGCCGTAGTTGTCATCTTGGTAGTGTTTAGCACTTGTTTGTGCCCTTGATTACAGTCAGGATTTCATCTAGGATTGAATTATGTACCTGTCCTTGCTCATGCAGTGTAAAAAAACTGGCTGTGTGCACCCTGCAGGAAGTGTGAAACCAAAACCCCTTACTGATGCTGTTTGACAAGCCCCTGTTTCCATTGTACCCCCAGTGCTTTGGGTGGAAATCTGAATATTGTTTACTACATTCACCAGTGCTAAAGACTGGTAAATGTAAATTTATACAAGCAAAAACTGCCTGTCTGGAAATCATTTTGCCTGTCCTTGGGACAGGTGCACAGGTGGCTTGATAAGACAATGAACACAATGCCTGAGGAGACATGAAGGCTACATGACATTCATTTAAGGGCTGGCATTGGCACACTTACTCATAAACTGTAGTACATGTATATTTAATTGGGGAAGGTGAACAACAGTGACAGTATACAACTGAAGTAACAAAAGCAGTATAATATGATAACGGCAGCAGTCATTGCAAGTGTATAACATACATGTTACATATCCATGCATCTGGGTGCAGTCCATGTAGGTGTCAATGTACAATTGTACATGTACATGTATGAATGAGTGTCGCATACTTGTACGTGTAGTTGTACTAACCACAGATGGCCAGAACAGGTGGCCATAACAGCAGCAACATTGGTAGCATCTGCCTCAGATTGGTTGCAAAGATGGGACCAGCTGTGACAAAGCATCATGGGTGCACATTCCATTCTGCAGCTGAGTCATAGTCCTTGATTGTTATCATCATGTACATGAAGTGTATCTTTTATGCTGACGAGTGATTTCAATCACCATTACAATTTTTTGGGGGGGATTCATTGATTCAAAATTATAAAGCTCTCAGGAATACATGTACATGTATATCCTTGTATGCATTGAGTTTCTGAAACAGACTCAGTCTTTGTAGCCTTGGGTATGTGCAGTTCATGTTCATATGTGGCATTATAGTCTGAGCACGTACAGTACTCATCAGTTTGAAAGTAAGTCTTTTTTTTTTCAAATTTTAAGTGGCCATATGCCAGGTAATGCATCCCTTGTTATTTAAGCACCTTGAGGATGGTTGGTTTTAAACAACCATTACACGCACTGTGATCATTCGCCAAGGACAGTTTACACAACATGTAGCGATAGATGCTTGATTATACAGAAGTAGACGTCTACTCTTGTTGTGATCCAAAATGCTGCATTTCAGTAGTCTAGAGAGTGCATGCAGTTGCATGCTTACATTTGTTGCATTCGGCCTGTGCATGGGAAACTAGGTGCATGGATAGATTGATTTCCTTTGACTATTGGAATTTGCATATTTGTCTCCATTCCATTCTTTCAATGTTTTCACAGCACCTGACCGAGTCTCTCTGTTTCATCTCCCCCTCATGTATCCTCCTCTGCCCATCTCTCTGTCTGTGATTGTCATCTTGCTGTCCAGCTGCATTGTCTGTGTACATGTTTACATACATGTATACAGAGTGGGCCTATTTATTATCTCTCGCCGTTTTCTTTATTCTTCCGCTGTCTACAACTCACAATTTACAAGGAGATTTAATATTTTTTTCTTTGCGGAGCATACTTGATAAAACAAAATTGCTATTCTTTGTTAGCAAAGTGTCTTCAATTATTTTTATAAAGAAATCTTTTTGCAGTTGGGGGGGGGGAAGATTGCTGAAAGCAAACCGTTGGTATGAACGTGTATAGCCAAACCATTTTGAAACCAGTGTGATGAGTTTCAACTGTCACAACAATACTAGTAGAGAAGCTTTGCGTAGGAGCCATCTTGGGGGAGGCGAAGTTCTTTGTTCAACAGGGAAACCTCCTTTGTGCATAAACTATACAACAGTAGCACTGGCCCACAAGGTACTTGTAGCAGCCATGCAAACCCTCAACAGGTTCCTAAGTATTAAATGGCCTGGTGAAGGGAAGATCAAACAAATCCACTCCTTGCAGCAGGCAGTGTTAGTATGTCAAATACTTTCTCAGTACACCATTTTGTTACACCATTTTGGATACTGCCTGCCATTGTCATTTGTTCATCTCTTACCTTCTCTGACAATTGCATCTTGTCTCGTGTGCTCGTTTTCATGCAGTGAGTTAGGCCAAATGGTAACAAGCTTGAAATTGTTTAATTGGTGATTGTAATTGACAAAATGTTACATGACTCTGATTTTAGACACATCACCTCATGCAAGGCACACATTAGTCATTGTGTCCATTGATTTTGAGAGATCCTATCACTATTGGCATGAGTTACTAGTAGCATAACACGTTATCAGTTACAATTTTATTCCTGCTTTAAATTTATAGTTATTTTCAAAGGAAGAATGTATCCCTGTGCAAGGTTGAGGCCAAGGACAACATTGGCCAACATGCAAAAGAGTGTGAGACACCAAGGGCAGAAACACTGGATATGAAAAACTGTACATCTTTTGGTCTTCTTGTTTCAGTATTCAAGATATATTTGTAAGTCACTGCCTTGTTGGTAACTGTGCCACTCACTTAAAATTTAAAACACTGGTGAAAAAGATGTAAATCCACATTGAGATTGCTGCACATCAAGTTGGAAATTGGTGTACTTGTACTGTGCATATGCATCAAACAACACTGTGCAAATGTCAAAAACAGTGCCCATAAAGAAATTGGTCCTTCCATTCACTTGTGAGTAGAGATCATGGTATCATTTACAATCTGCATTACATGGTTCAAAATACTGATGCTAGCCTAATGCAGAGTTCTGCTGCACTTGGTACTGCTCTTTTGGCCCACCGTACTTTGTTCATGTTCTGTTACCATTTGGCTTGGCCCTTTTCGAATTCCTGCTGCCAAAGTCTGTGTAATAGTGTTCCCCCATGCCAATTTACCCCTCTTCCCGTATCCAGCTTTGGTTGACAGCCTTCAGCCGGTCTATGTCTCAAGGACGGATCCCAACTCGCGTCTCAAGACCATACAGGAGATCAAGAGACGATGTCAGCCGGACAGCCAGTGGCCTCAGATTGTCATCTTCCCAGAAGGCACCTGTACAAATGGCTCTTGCCTCATCACATTCAAAGGAGGTTAGATGGTGACTAGTTCTAGACAACTACAGCTAAAATAGACTAGGAACAAGCTTTCTTTTGTAGGCTGAAAATGAGGACAAAAGAGGCTTTACACATTTTAAAATGCCATCAGAATATTATTCTAATCCTTGAACACTGCCATCATTTTTAGAACATGTGCAGCTTCACATTAATATCTAAAGCAAAGTGTTACGAATGAAACTGTAAGCCATTATTAGAAAGAAATGCCCATGTCTTTGAAGGTTAACCGCATCAAGTACTCTGTCTTGACCCCCAATGATTTCAGTGTATGTAAGGTTCCCAACGTTAGTCACTTTTGTCACCCAATTGCAATAAGCCTTTTACGAGTTAAATTTGAATAAAATCTGGTACACTGAGTTCTTTAAATTCACATGAACATAATAATTGGAATTCTCCATACTAAAGCCACTGTTGCTATACCTCGTGATTTGGGGCAAGCTTTTGCTTAGTTACATAAGAGACGCCTTGCAACAATACACTGTGTTCAATGGTAAAGAAGGGCACAAAGGAACCAGTCCATTCCAGAGATGGTGGTCACTAAGCAAAAGCTTGCCCCGAATCACGAGATATAGCAACAGTGTCTTCAGTCTTGGGAATTCAAATTGATATGTTTATGTGCAATCAGATAACTCAGTATACCAGAATTTTTTCAAATTTAACTCGCAAATGGCTTATTATTTACAAGCAATTGTGCATTGCACTGCATTAAAATTTTTACCTGAAAAAAGTACAAATTAACTGAAAACATAATCTGTTGTATAAAATTTCCCAGCTGGAACCATGTGTACCATATATACTTTGGTAGCATGATACCATGAAATTCAAGTACAAATTTCACATAAAGTACGCTTTCATGAATTTTGTATGCCGTGCCCTGAATTTTGATAAAAAAGACAGGGGTAGAGCAAAGAGTGCATGAACTTTTGTTCCTCAGAACGGCCTATGGTGATTGAAATGCTAGCAATGTGGCCATTTTTCCAGGGTATCCTCTTAGGTTTAAAGTCCTTTGGGAATGTTGCAATGCAGTTTGTTTATTTTTAATTTAGGGGTACCACTATTTAAAGCGTTGGCAGCCTGACAGGTGTTGGCTATGCCTCAGTGCTGTTGAATATATTGAGAGTGATGGTGACAATTGCCTAGCATCATCCATGGTGCGGTCTGCTTCTGTATCCTACATTGTGTTCACTTGGACCAAATTTCACTACAGAAAAAGTCACAAATCAGTTTAGAACTATAATAGCATAGGCTCAGTGCTAAAAGGTCATTAGTCTGAGTATGGAAGAAAGATTTTGTTAAAACAGACTACAATTTCGTTTTACATTCATTTATAAAACTAGTTTTCAGGCTAATATATATCAATTTCAACCAGTTTTCTTGCCCAAATTCATTTTCAAATACCTTTTTGAATAAGGACCTTTCATTGCAATTTGTCATAAAGGACCCTTTAGCACAGACACGCCAATAAGTGCTCTTACATATCACATATTTCAGCCAGTAACGCGCAGGTGGTTGTTCCAAACTGCCCAAAGCGCATTGATTTTTTTCTGCTTACCAACTGTAAGAGTGGAAGTTTATCACAAATGACATTTCTTTTATGACTTCCATACAGTCAGTCCCTTCATATCCCTTCCCCTTCCTTGCCACAGTAATTATAATTGTGTCAACTATTTTCACTCCCTCAGAAGAATTCTCTTTAAAGTCTTCTGAGGGATTATGTACTTTCACATAACTGTACATGTACACTAAGTTTGTTTAGAATGGTACACATTAGCAGGAACTTAAATACATGTATGTCGTGTCTTTGTTGCTTTTATTTGCTTTCAGTCATTTTGGATAACATTCAACACTTTCTGCATCTGTTTCATTTCATGTTCTCAATTCGAGGCTCAAAGGAGTAGTCAGGAATTATTTGTCAAGCTTATTTTCTTGTTGAGATGGTGCTCAAGTTGCACAAGATTTGTTTAACCAAGTTTTATCCTGTCTCGTCGTGTTACAGGTGCCTTTTACCCTGGCGTTCCAGTGCAGCCTGTGGCAGTACAGTACAAGAATGATCTGGACACATTTACTTGGACATGGGATGGGCCTGGAGCGTAAGTGTGCCCTTTATTGTGCTTGGAAGTCTTTAAAAGTCTTGCTGGGCTCCCTGAGACTTTGCAAGTTGTGTCAGAGTTTCAGTTTAGATTCTTTCTCCAGGAAGAAAGGAATTGCCACATGATATTGGAAGGGCACCTGGAAAACTGGTTTTAATTGAAGGAAGTTTTTTACAAGGAAGAAACGTGTAACGGCAAGTGAAAAACATGCACATCATTTAGACCCTTTTGAATGATCGTTATTTCACTTGCAGTTTTCTTTTCCAATTGTTCTAGCATTGCATAATTAGGCACAAAAGTCACTGGAGTATAATGTGATAAGGAGTCACAGTAACTGCCATGGCTTCATGGAAACAAGAATAATGATTCAAGTCTGATTTACATCTTTCGGTTCAAGCAGAGGAGGTGCTGCAAACTTTAACATCAACAAGGAGTGTACAAAACAAACTTCTTGAGAAGCTGGAAAATCTGAACATCACATTATTTTTTAAGAAATACAGTTTGAAGCAAAGTTAGAAATATCGTGTAGACTTCAAATGTGGTGTTACATCTACATGTATGTGCTGCTAGTTAACAGTGAGTTTAAGTATTAGTTCTTAGGCACAAACATTAATGCATAGTGTCAACTTATGTAACATCATTAAAAATGATTTCTTGCCCAATGAGGCAGTTCAGTATTTCTAATGCACCAAAATGAAGTGTGTCTGAGATCATTGGGGTGCATTTGTGACGTTTGCCCTATCAGTGTAGACTTGACTCAAATTGGGATCTTCCGTGACATTGTCTGCGTTTATGCTTTGGATATGGAGGGCGCACATTGTACTTGCTTCGCGCCCTCTTGTGTCCACTTTTTACTGTGAGTTCAGGAATCCTGACTTGACAAATCTGCCAGCCATTTGTACGCAGCGAATCAGCTCATCTGCCAAAAAAGGTAGCAGCCAATCAAATTGCTGGACAATTCATACCTCTGTTACAATGAACTAGTCTACAAGTCCGACTGCTTTGGGGGAAATTTCAAGTCTGACCACTATGATTGGTGGAAATTCCCTATACATTATGCAAGATCATGTCGTTCATATGCCGTAATGAATAACTACATACCACCGACGGGGGGTCTGATTGGCATATCTGTCAGGTCAGACTTACTGACTGGTGACATACATGTACATTGTACAATCTTTGATGTTGACGTCGGATATCACGGAAAAGCTATCAAATGGGGGCACCTTACAAGAAGTTACATGTATGTGAGTGGGCGAGCCTGATGACCGTGTACTGTGTATGTGCTTTGTTCCTGAATGATTTTAATTTTTTGAAAACTAGACTGGCTCATTAACAATATATGTCTTTAGTGGGGTTGAATTTGACCAAAGTCTGCATCAGTATTGTAACATTCATGCAAGTCTGACCTACCTGGCAATCTATTTCCCCAACTCCAGCCTGAAACTCCTGTGGCTGAGCCTGTGTAATTTCAGCAATAAACTGCAGGTGACGTTCCTGCCCATCTACACCCCCAGCGAAGAGGAGATCCAAGACCCCAAGCTGTTTGCCAGGAACGTCAGGGCGGTCATAGCCAAGTGAGTGGACCAAGGCAGAAACAGAGCTACTCTTAACAATGTTGTGGTCAAGACCTCTTGAGACCATCACAAGACCTCCAGTTTGATTTCAAGTGATAAGCTATTCAAATGAGCTGCAATAAAAGCATTCCATTGTCACTGTTCACTCTGGTACTTGTGACTAGTCTTGTGAGTGATTTTGTGAGGCCCTGTGTCTTACAAATGGTCTTGGGATGGTCTCGACTGCAACACATGCTACCAAGCACATAAATTTGTAAGCAAAGGAAATGTTTGCTGGCAAAAGTAGGTTACCAACCACAATGTCATGCATCCTGTATTTCTTGTGACTGGTTCCCAGCTGTTCTTTACCTAGCATGTAAATTTGTAAAGGAGTTTTTGGGCTGTTGTTTCACTAAACCAAAGGTGCAACCGTGTAACTCCACATATGCCATGTTTTAAACCAGTACCATAGCATTTTATAGCTTGCCTCACCACTTTCAATCAGGCTAGTTTCAAAAACGACTTCAGCTTTTGCTTTGAATTCATTGGTACTGACTTAGCCATGACAGCATGAAACCTCACTGTGCAAGTTGCAGCTTGAAAGAAATTCTTGCAGTTGAGTCTCAAGTGTCTTTCTTAGTTTAAATGGAGCATATTACCTAGGATGCATGTAAACCGTACTGCTGGTAGTTGTCTTCTTTATTCCAAGAGCAGGAGTTACCTTCGGGAATTTCAGAGTAAAGTGATATTGACTACGCCTTTTATCAGTTTTCGTGACATCCTCTATTTGCAAGTGCGATTGACAAGCCGGTGACAGACCACACCTTTGAGGACTGCCGGCTGATGATGAGGGCCCAGGAGATGGGGCTCCCCCTGGAGGTGGGCCTGGTGGAGTTCCAGAAACTGCTCGCAAAGCTCGGGTGAGGGAAAATAGCGATCGGCTGTAAAAAAATGCTGTCTTGCTTAAATTTGAAACCGTCTATTACGTGAAAGGACTGGACCAGTGACTGTGACTGGTCACTATGGCTCAGAGCTGGACCAAGAGAGGGCGCAATTTTCTGGCAACAGAAGTTTGTTTGGTAGTAACTGTGTATCACTGGTTCACGAAGGACAATGAAACACAAGCATTACAGTCGCATCACTACCAGCAAAGTAAACACTCCCGACTAAAATGGCTCTTTTCAACCAATGAGGTGGCGCTACTGCTCAGGGCAGATAGTCATCACAATGGGGACAAGACAACCTCCAACCTTATTAGTATTTGCCAATGTTGTTCCAACTTCGCAACCTGTCAGTTTAATCAATGGCCATAAAAGCTGAAAATCACTTGTTTGTAGGTTTTGTTGAACATGCGTTGTTCCTCTGGCGTAGCTGCCCAGGATAGTTTTCATGGTTTGGTCAATTCTGCAAACCACTCTTTCCTCACAAAATATTAAAAGTTTTCAAATTTGAACTCCCCTTTTGAAATTAAGAGTTGTCCTTGACAATATGTGGTATATGCAGATATCGGGGACTATACATTTGTGGTTTGTCTCTAATTGGAGTTATCCATCACCCTTACCCAGAGTCAAGATGGACCACTTACAAGAGAGGCTGAAGTCCTATGCCGACATAGCCAAGTCCGGTGGTTACATAGGTATAGAGGACCTGGCCAAATATCTGGAATTACCCGTCTCGCCAGCATTGAAGGAGGTCTTTGGTCTGTATGATAGGGTGAGCACAGAGCTCTTGATGTCGTGTTGCTGAATAACATTCTCAGTGTAGTATCCTCATATGGTAGGTGTTGTTACTTGGCCAGCTACAGCGTAATATATTGTATTGTAACAATGAACTGTGATGATGGAACCTGACCCAGGTGTTTGTGTTGCGTATATATTGCTAGATATTTGCTCTTGAGTCACTCATGTTTGACCAGTGTTTTTGCTTGTAATGTGAAGTTGGTGTGATTCAAATCATAAAAATCCTGGGGCAATCATAGCTTCACCATACAAGGAACCTTGTGAAAACTGTGGCTTTCTAAAATTGTGGCTTTTCCCTTCAGATCAGCAGCCCTGATAAAAAGCAAGAATAAATAAACAAATCCCTTCTTCACAGATATTAGATTGGACTCACTGTAATTGAATTAATATTACTCCAGCAGATATGACAAGAAGAATTTAGCCTCAAGTATTTTTATTTCTTTTTATGTAAGTAGTATGTAAGTAGCATAACTATTAATGCCAAAACTTTAATCTTTTTAGTACCAAATAGAAGTCATCAAAGCTTTTGTGATAGTTAGTACCATAATTTGTACCTCCTAAACCCTAAATTTGTTCAAGTGATGACTTTACATCTTTATGTTTCCACAGGATGGCAGTGGGAAGATTGACTTCAGGGAGTATGTCATTGGCTGTTCTCTTCTTGCTCAACCAGCCAATAATGACGAAACGCTGAAGCTGGCCTTTGGGGTAAGAATATGCCTTTGTCAAAATCCAAACTTTCTGTACACAGTTAAGGTAAATGTTTAATCGGAAATAAAACTTCTAGACCGGTGGCCTCTGTGTGGGTTCATGGTCCAGGGCTAACCCAGCCTTATGCGACGATCAAAATCAACTCTTTTGCATGCAGATCAGCAGGTGTTATTACAGGTAATTTACCCATGTTCCTGTGGCTAAGACTCTGGATGTTTGTGTGCTGGTTATGTGCAATTGTTTATCCCCACAGATGGCCAGCGCATGTAGACATGTACATGTAGGTCTAGTCTAACACACTATCCATTCTTCCAACACAAACACTTATACCCATCTCAGATGGAGGGTAACGAATTGCTGCAAAGTACCTTACTTACTATCTTACTACCGCAACCTGTAGCATTGAATGTTAAGAGATGTAATAGCATTTGGAGTAGCACTGTCGCTGATACAGGCTTACTTTGGCAGTATGCCTTTTGATTTGATGCCTTTATTTTTTAATATTCTTGAGATGTTTGGTGGTGACAAGAATTATATTGAGCCGGAGGATATGTGTCGCATCATGAACAGCGCATTTGGTATGGCAGATGAGGAATCCCTGAAAATCTTCAAGCAAGCAGACGTGCTCAACTCGGGAAAAGTCACATATGGTAATTCCTTTGTCCTATCTAGCTTGAATAAAGCACATATTAGCACGTTTTTGAGAGCGCCACAAAATGAATGTTCAATTGACACTGTGCCACTAGCACTATTTCCAGTTAATAAACAAAAACGTTTTACCCTGATAATGATTAATGGTCAGCGGTTACCATGCAACGTTCTGAAATGATCCATCAGCGAACACTGGCCAGAAGTCTACATTCAACAACAAAAGTCAGTTGTGAAGTATTTTAATTTACTGTACATCAAAATGAAAATGGTCTTTTGTTTAGGCACATGTTAATTAATAATGCACATTTTTGAAATGAAAAGTAAATCAGTAAGTAAACTAGACAAAACTGAAACTGCGTTCTCTACACATCAGGGACATGAAAGGAGAGAAAGCCCCCCCAAATTATGACTGCAAGCTTTACAGATAGGTCTTGAATAAACCAGTCACATGTACTCAGAGGTGCTAGAATTTGTTTGAGAAATATCGTCCCCGTCGTAGATACCAATTACTGTTACAGAGGGCTACAGCTGTCACCATGAAAAAAAAAGGTGTGTGGGGCCGATGTAAGTTCTGCCAATGGTGTAGTTTAAAATTTTAACCTTCGTAAATGCAGCCCCACTAGCGTATTGAGCACACAGCACAGAGAAAACACGTATGCGCGCGGGTGCATGTACGACGCCCATGACAGAAGTTCAGATTTCATGGCCACGAGGAACATTCGGTGCCAATGAACATATACGGTGTGCAGTGTGGCCGCTGACGCCTGGTGCACAATGCATGTACTATGTAGGCTACCTATAGTATGTACATGTACACGGAAAAAAGCAGGACTATTAACTGCTTTTTCGTCTATATTTTTGGGACATGCACTCTGCATTATGTAAGATAATTCGAGCCATACTATCATAATTATATTGTGCGTATAGGGGATGGAAAAACTGGGTATCGGCCCGTTATTTGCTTATCGGGCAGAAATAATGGCGTATCGGGCCCGATACGCAAGTTTGTACATGGGGAGAACCTTTGCTCTAACTTTAGGCAAAACAATCTATAAAGACATAATTAATAGTTGTGTTGCAGTGGTGTCCTTGTAGACAGTTTCAACCTGCAAACCTTTCCCTAGTGGTAAACTAGCCTGTGTACAGTAGCATATAAATTTGATATGATGTCAGCACTTACTTTTAAGAACCACTCAAATATACAACCTTTGATTATTGAGAATCAAGTTTAGTTGTTGGACAAACCAGATAATTCCCAATGTCTTATCCAGTTCCACCCCCATTTCCAAATTCAAAGACCATACCTCATGCATTCATGCATACCACATTACCTCTTGCGGACGATATTATCCCACCACAATCATGCCCCCCCCTTGTTACCAACTACTTTTTTAAATGACAAGATACCACAACCTTAGTCTTTTATAAAGTTGGATGGTCTTTGGTGATCATCTTTCCAAGATTTACTTAACAGGAATTTTTCCTTGAATGTGTTTTCAGACTAGATTGAGCGACAGGCAAAAGTATTGTTTTTTCTTGTAGCAGAAACTCTCTGTATATTTTCTTGGCTATTTGATTTAAGTTAATATAAGTTCTCTTGCTAGGTGTGTCACTTGTTAATTGCGTCCCCCACGACGTAATGTTGCAGATGAGTTCAAGCAGTACATGCAGAAGAAGCCTGAATATGCCAAGCTGTTCACTACCTACCAGCGTCTCGTCACCCTGCCAGAAACCATCGAGGCCGACTTCAAGAACAAGCTGTGCACTACGGCGAGCGAGCTGGATGTGGAGCGTTCGCAGACGGAACTGAAGACAGAAGGGGCCACCTCCAAGACAGGAGAGGAAAAGAAAAGGGATTGACATGAGGAAGGCTTGGCTCCTGTCTCCATGTGATGATGATGATGACAACAATGATGATTATCCTTCTTTGCGGCTTTCAAGTGTGAGAAAACAAATCTTGACAGTTTTCTGCTCCAACTTATGGGAAAGCTACAGTTTCTTTGCAGAAGTCAGCTAATTAATTCTTTAATGGTGGCTCTGCTAAGATATTTTCTGAGAAAAGAAAAATTAGAAACTTTTCAGGAAAAATCTTGGGACAGGGTAGTTCACTTTACGTTAAAAGGACACTTTCCCCATGCAATGTTTGGGAAATGAAACTCTTGAAAAGCAGGCAGGCAACTAGGAATTCAGGGAAAAAAATGCACAAAACCAAAAAGAAATTTTCAACTGCACAGGATTTTATGTTTTCAGTTTGTAATGGCATGCATGTTAGGTGACAAACATGGAAATCAGCTGATCAAAAGGAAAAGTTGCATGCCTGGACAGAAAACAGTCTGCCTCTCTTACTGTTGCTCTGTCTAGAAGTAAATAAATTCTGCATACACGTGCAATCATAACAGGGAATGTTCCATAAGAACCATGCATAACAGTATTCTTGCTGTTCAGTACGCTGCATCAAAATGTTATTTTCTTTAATTATCCACAGGATTGTTGTACTGACCAACAAAGAGCTGTCTATTTTATTTCCTTTTCTCAGGGTTGGGCTGTCAGCCTTACTTTCAGGTATACTTTGGTGTTCAGTTGGACTGTCCTGTGCGAATAGCCTGCAGTTGTTTCATTGTGAAATCCGACTGTGATTTGAACAATTAGTGCAGTGGGATCCATACACTGATAGTTACATTTTAGGGTTTAATGTAGCGGATTTGCATCATTACACACTAGACACAACTTTGTTTCATTTCCAGTTTAATTTGAAATTTCTTTCTATTCATTAATCGGGTATCATTCCGAAAGAGTAGGGGTTGGTGGAATTCCTAAAGGTAAAATCAAAATCTTTGACAGCAGGCATAAATGCTAACTTTTTGTTGACCATGCACAGGGGACAATCTTTAATCTTGACTGTTTTATTCAGTGGGAATGATGATTATTACAAAAGACTTTTTCCTATTAGATTTTAACTTGACAGTGTACTCAAGTATGTTGAGTTATAGTCAAGTCCTCAGAAATAACAAGCAATTTGGGTCTTTACAAAGGCTATTCATATGAGCCATGAGGAAGTTGTCACTAAGTCATTGTCATTTCCTTGTTACTTGGGGCCCTACTTGCGAGTTGACGTGACTTCTAAACAGCGTGGATTTCTAAGCATACCATGGGTGCATTTTGGCTGTCATAACCAAGAATTGGTTTGATTATTCCTTGGTGAGTTTCCATGACAGTTTAATTGGGTAAGAATTACATGCCATGACGTGGTACTCAAATCCCCAAATGAAATATCCAGAGAGAAAAAATAAAAGCCGTTCTCGGTTGAGGCTTCCAAATGCACCCCAGCTTTCAGTGAAACGGATAAGAGAATTGGTCCAAAAGCTCTCAGACGTCGGAATGGGTAAATGCTCAAAAATGATAGTTTCCAGCACGAACCATTACTCTGTGCTGCATTGCTGCCCCATTGTTCTGTTGACTTTGCCACTGAAATGTGACTTTAAACCAGTATATCACTTCTGTTAATATACAAGGTCAGAAGAAATCATCATGTCTGGAGCCAAGCCACATAATTGCCATATCTTGAACATTTCTTTATTTTTTAGTTTTGTGTGAGTTTATTTAAACTATTAAGTTGTAGTTTAGGTTTACGGGTCATAAGTTGTACAGAAAGTCATTTTTGTTAAAATACATGCTACAAAATTTACTCTCTCATCGTACTCCTGAAACATTGAAATATGACAAATGACAATGTGATTTTTACTTTTTGCAGTTAGTTATTAACTTTGCTTTGTTTGCAGTGATTTATCAATGACCTGGTGCATTCCATTTGAAATCAAAATATGGAATACTTAAGAAAAGGGTGTATAGTGTTCATTTTAGAGATTCGCAGACACCAGTGGTGCTTTTAGGGATAAGATTTGTAAGGATTTTTCCTGATGGTAGGATTTCTCCTGATTGTAGGACTTCTCATCAGGATTTTCCTGACTTCAGGATTTCTCAACAAATCTCTTTTAATATATGGACAATCCTGAGTTTCCCACAAGGGTAAGATGCCATAAAAATTTCATGGAATGGGCATTTTAAGGATGAGTTGAGTCAAAAACAAATGCATACCATAGACCCTGCACTGCTGTGGGGACCTCAAAACCTCTAGTTATTATTTCATGGCTGTTTCTTTTCTTCCAATCTCCCCCCCCCCCCCGCTTTGTAGCTCATCAAGAAGAGTTTGATCATATAAACACTTACATTCTACATTCCAAGGCAAATGGTGTCCATCCTGGTGTATCTCTATTAAGATTACTTTGCCAACCTTGACATTGCATTGTTAGTTTTACAAGGTACATGTACCTCGAGAATTCATGCACGCACAAAAAACTTAACTTAAAATACATGCACATCAACATGAAGTTTGAACTTGCTTTTTTGAATTGTGTGTCCTATTCATTTAATTCAAGCAACTATAGCTACAAAGTAGTATTTGAGTAGAGTCCCATGTGGAGGCATATGTGACCCGCTCTGCGACAATGAGTTTAAGGCCTTTGAAAGTATCTTGCACAGTGTTTAAGCAATAGGAATCCTGAACATTTTAACATCTACACAACATCCATTTCCATATATATCAAACTGAGTGACACATGAAAATTTTTCCAATCTAAAACAAAGTAAAAGTCAAAAGTGGCCTGGTGACAATGCGACTCATTTTCACAGCGGGTCATGTGTGTAATGATTTTTCTTTTGGGGGTATTTTTTTGTTGTTTTCTTCAGTGGAAATGTGTAAGCATGCAGTTATTGTATAACGGCAAGCAATAATTGAGGTCTTTCCAATGACATTTGATTGTAAAATATGTTAAATGGGGAAAAACTATTTTTTAATAATTTAAAGTTATCTATCCACACTTTTTCACAAATTAAAACAAATGTATATTGATTTCTATAAATTCGGTGTTGTCCTAGTAATGGCTTAACATACAAGTACCCTCAGTACTTGTATTCATGTAGAGGGTTTGCATGGCTGACCTCATGCAGGTCAGTGTGTTTGTTCCACAAGGCATGCACAAAGATTCCCCATCAACTAAAGAACTGTCCTGCAACATGGCTACCACGCAAAGTCTCTATTGCCAGTTCACATTTCCAGGCCATTTGTTTAATACTGATAAACGTGTGTTAAGTATTTGTGTACATGTATTAATGCAAAGCATGCCTTGGACTTATTAAATTACATGAGTAACTGCACTGAGCAAATTAAATCAACTACTGTCAGGTTGACCAATGTCTGCCTAATGATGGATGGTTTGGGCAATCTAATTGACCAATAGGGGCATGGTTAGAATACTGGTTGTCAAAGCTGATGTAATTTATCAGTAAGGAGGATCAATTCACATGAAAATTCCATTGACTATGAATGCAGCCCGAGTTGCAGCTTACAGCAAAATGACAGTGACAATGGGATTCTAGAAAATATTTTGACAAGGTTTGTTTGAGTGTGACCGTACTGCATGCTCACACTCTGGTCGAGCTACAGTTCATGCCCATAGTTTACAGGCTGAACATTGACAAAAGGAATGCTTTTGTTGCAGTTCAGTTAAATAGCTTGTGACTTGAATGCAGACAGGAGGTCTTGTGTTGATCTTATATCCTGTTAAGAGGTCTCAAATATAGCAGCAATGACTGCCTGTCTTATGAAAGTTTCCAGTTGCTATGCAAGGACAAGTAGCATGTGTAAGCCTAATTGAGATTGGGGGCAGTAATGACTTGTCAGTTTGCATAAAATGGGAGAAAAAAATAACCCAAACAACCAAAAAACTGGTAGTTGTTTCAAAGGAGACCGAGACTCTTCACGTACATGTAGTGTAAGACAATCTTGCTGCATTTTTTTATTCACTTGTTCTACAATCTGCTGGTTGATTACAGAGCAAACAGCCAACAAGAAATTAGTTTATCCATTTCCACTTACACTCATTTTGTAGAAATAATTTACACCATATGCCAGTTTATGTTTGGGTCTTCTTACAAAGGGGAAAAAAAGGAGTCACACATTTTTCAGCTGGCCCCTAGGCACACAGTACATTTCGGAGGTTTAGGCCATTATTCACTTTCTGTCATGTGGAGAATATTTTAACTGAGTTATTTTTTTGAAAGGTTTGATGGCCTGTATGTATATTTGTCAGAAATATTCCTGTAGTTGTCTGATGAAAGAAGTGTCATCACTTAGAGATATATGGGGCCATTCAAATTTTTCAGTGTTTTTAAATTTCGATTTTTTTTTCCAAATTTTTTTGACCCACCCACCCCCATTTTCAATGAACAAAAAAGTGATTTTGTCATCCTGTATTAAAACTCCCAATCCAGCGTACAACATGAAACTGCATAGACGTACATGTATACTTGCACACGTAGATACATTTCGAGTTTCAATTTATTTCCTTGACCCACCCACTATTTTTTAAAAAAAAATCGAAATTTAAAAACACTGAAAATTTTGAATGGCCCCTTACACCTTTTTAGAAGTAATATTTATTTCATAGAGAATTCACATTAGAAGTAGTTGTATATGTCTGTGACAGAGAATGTGAAATGGCTGCATTCAATATCACAGAAGGAGCTGCAGCGCATGTGTCGAGATATTTCATTTATCGCATTGCAGCAAGAAGCTAGCTTTGGTATAAGAAGTAAGGATTATCAATCAAGTGAAGAAAATAAAAGTGCACAATTGTAAAGAACTGAACATGCCTCACCATTATGCATTACTGATCATGAATCACCTTATCTTCCAATGATTTGTACACAAGTGAGACACTTGTGGTGAATAAAGAGTACAGGTTGATGTAGGCTTGTGAGGAACAGCTATTGCAATGTCCAATTCTTTGGGGTTTGTGAGTAAGCTTCAAATACCCAAAACATGCAAATACAAGTAAATAACCTACCAGTAGCCAATTGAAATAGAAAATTGACTTTTTCTGTTAAAGAACACTTGTCAACTGCAGCCAGCTGGTGACTGGCTATCTGTGAAAGTGTCTAAAATGTCACCAACTCCTTTTCTGACTTCATCATTTGTCCCTTGACCTGCATGCATAGACTCTTTACCAGCCTCAATGTCAGTAGGTATGCTGAACTCATGCACTGTGGAATCTATTTTCCTGGTCTCTTCTCCAGTCACTCTGTGCAACACAGTTGTGTCAGGTCCAGTGTGCTTTTCTTCAGGTTGGCTGTCTTGATCAGCATCCATGCTAGTCTCTCTTCCAGTTGTTTGTCTCAGTTCTTGAGTAGTCTCCGCTTCCAGTTGACGTTTGTGGTATAACGGTCTCGAGGCATCCAACAGACCCAGGGCGTGCAAGCACACTTTTGTTGCACCTTGCTTGGCAAAGCTTTTACTGATCTCCCTGAAGAATAACGCAAAGGTCAAATAAGGAGCCTGTCACTTATCGCAGCTTGGTTCATAGAAATTTAAGAGGTACATGTACAAATCTCTCAAACTGTGCAATACTTTGCAGAAATAAGTATTTTACAATAAACCATGGACTAAGTATCTATAATTTATAGACTTATCACATACAAAGGAGCTGTCTATTACTCCAAATATCAAGTGTACAGGCAAATGATAAGTTTTGATGAAGAGTGATGGGCATAGCAAGACGGACCAGTAACAGCCAGCTTTTGGTTCTGGCAGTATGCTTGCACATACCATCAGGCAAAAGGTCATGTGATTTCATCAACAGTGGTTCAAAGTTAGAGGAAAAATGAAGCCTAACAGTATGTCCACAATTTATCATGAAGATGTCGAGCTTTCAGGATGTACTGTGGTTCAATGGAACATGTAAACACATAGAAAGGGGGCAGATTCTGCACCCTCCCCCACCCCTATGGCTCTTCTAGGGTTAATGTGAGCAGGCCGTATTTCTCGGACAGTCTGTAATTTGCCAGCAGTTTTGTGTTAATTGAGTTAGAAAACTGATCACGTGTACTATGCCCCACCCCGTTTGGACAGGAGCTTGACTTTACAGAACAAGTCTGCTGTCTACAACTTTTGGAAATTAGGACTCTCCCAACTCATCAAATCCAACACTTGGTAAACCAGCTTGGAACCAACACTTTGAAATGTAACAGGCATATTAGGCAGAACTTCAGCATAAAACCTCTTGTGATGGTGGCCAGGTTTTGCACCGAGGTTCATCATGGAAATTGATACTGTATCACTGATTGTTTTACGAACCACTGGGTTGATGTGTAGCTTTTGCCATCAATCGTCAAAATTGCCTGATAGTTCTTGTCAGATTCATCATTCACCTGCAACATTTGAAGACAAAAGCAAAAAAAAATAAAAACTATCAAAAACCCTTTTCTAAATTTCAAGTAGACAATGAATGTCACAGTATGAATGCCAACCAGCAGGTCAATCATCCCTCAACAATTCTTATGAAGACATACATTCTGGTGTGAGAATTCTACCAATCTCTGGGGCCTATAGTCAAAGTGCAGGAGTAGTCATACAACAAACAGCTGCCGTGGTGAAAATACATGCACTGTGAAAATTTCAGCATAACTCATGTGAGGCTGATTCTGGAGGATCTTACCACTGTGAACTGAGGTGGGGGCAGCTTTTTCTGGCAGACCAGGGTGTTCAAAATTTGTTGGGGTGTGTTTCCGTCAATGTAGTCTTTCCTGGAAAGAAAAATGACAACTGTTTACAGAAGTATGCTTACATATAAAATGACCAAAACGTTACTTCAAACACCTTTTACAATGTGCTCTAAGACAAGACAAGTTATACTTTTTTGTAACTACTTCCAATGATAAAAAGACAACATTTCATGAACAAGTCTTTTCCTATGTGAAAGTAACTGTCATATTACCTTGCTCTACATTGTTCCCAACAAGTAGCCTTGACTCACACTTCATCTTAAGGTTTTAAGGTTGCAATTGCAGGAACTGACTTGAAAAGGGTCAAGTCAAGTCCATACACGCCCATCACAAGTCATTCTCTGTTGGCCAAGTCAGAAGCTCGTCAAATGAACTATGACAAGAGCATTCCTATGTCTCTGTTCACCCTTGACTGGTCTTGTGAAAAGACTTGTACAGACTAAACTCGACAGCAACCATGGGATATGGTCTGGACATAGGAACTGTGGACGTATGTTCCTGGTGCAAGGTACACATTATAGATAAAGTCCCTGTGAATGTTAACAAACTGACAAATGTGTTTGAGTCCTCTCCAAAGAGCATGCATCCTAAATACAAAACAAGAAAGCTGACCTGAAATATTTCACGTTCATCTCAAACAGCTCTGTGCCGTCTTCCAGCCTGCGCTTCTTGACTCTGTATGCATTTTCTTGCCTCTCTCGGGCAAGTCTGTGAAGTTCAGTGGCTTCATAACAGTATCCTTCCATTCCCCAGAGTTGGCTGTTAGATATAACGACACAAAAAGTTATGTATTGAATTTTCCTGGTATCATTACATTTTGGATCTATCTATTGTGATGGATTATGTGCTTCTTGTCCAATTCCCAAAAGCATAAATCCATTGAATTAAGAAATGACCTAGAGACACTTTTGGACCTGATATATACCAGCACACAATCAAAAATCCAAAGGTTTACTTTCAAATTTTTTTGCATTCACACCATCAACACTGAGGTCTGAGCAGCCACTTTTACCAAGAAAAGCACTGAACCGGAAAAATGAGAAAATAGGCATCTGAAATTTCAAAGGTTTTCTGAATTTTACAAAATACTCCTTCTGTTCAAGAAAGGAAACAAGTCATTTGAGATAGGCTCGTCAAATTGAGTCGCTGAGTCTTAACTCACACTCTTGAGAGTTGAGATACTCACCACAATTCAGCCATGTTGTTGCTCTTCATCACAGCTTTATGAATGACCTGTTCTTCACTGCCATGCAAGAGTTGCAAGATACAGAACTTACTGTTGGCGTGGGCATTCTCATAGTCTACTGCCTGAATGTGGACCCAAAAGAGGTTATTTCTTTTCATTTCAGTCATAGAACTGTTACTTTTGAATGACTTTTTTAATTTTGATCCAGGTTGTTGATGTGATAAATCACTTTAGGGTGAAACAATCATGCACTGTGGTGAAAGGTATACAGAAGTCTTCCAATTAAGAGACCTCTGAGGATAAATACATGTCCAAATGAGCTTGTTTAGTTCATTTTTTAAAAATGCCATACTGAGGATAATAAATAAAATGTAAGCTTGTAAATGCTGTGAACACATGCACACGATTGATTACACTGATACTGTAAATACAAATACATATCTGATGTGCCTGCCCTAGAGTCAGGGCGTGTGTTTATTGTTCTGGAAAATTAATAGCTCCAAGCGGTTATTACCACAAGCTGGACCACATACATAAGATAATGGCAAACATGAAATCTCATTTGGTTTCACACACTTTTTCCATCAGACTTGTTCAAATGTTTGGGGTTTAATGTTTTTGGAACCTCAAAAGTCACAATTGAGATTCAGCACTAATATTTGACACATATCATGCCTTACCTACATATTGCAGCAAAATGAGGTTAGTTTGAATCAGTTGATGGAATCGGTGTTTCTAACAACACTGGCTAAAAAAAATCACTGACATAAAAAAGACATCCCGATATTTGTTATATTTTCAAAAAAGTAGGTAATTCCATTTTTATTTTCGACAACATCATACTGTTACGTAAAACTGTGATACAGTTCATTGTGGCAAGTGTCTAGCAATTCTCACATATTTCAAGTAGTCCTTGATGACCTCCTCCTGAGGTAGCTTGCCCTGCCTCCTGAAGATGGAGGTGTTCCACTGGGCTTCCCTGGCAATCATGATCGAGGACGCTTGTGTCTGCTTCTTGAAACGCACGATGTCCTCATATGAGGTGATGTGCTCTTTTGAACCGCCGCTGTATGGGCCATGATAATATGAGGGGACTGAGTTTAAAGTCTGAATTACAGCATTCACATCACAAACTTAAATGCTGATTCGATTTGAAAATATAGGCAGACACTGTACTACAAAAATGTGAACCTATCATCTACTTTAACTTCCAAAGACGTTACAAACCAGTGCTTACTAGGGCACATATTTGTGACTAAAACACTGTTTGAAAGACGACCATCAGGAAAAAAGTGGTTGACTTGCAAAAAATGTTGTGCTCTATTAAAAAATTCAAGTTGTATTTTAACGTACATGTACTTTCACTGGAATCCTCAAAAGTCTTATCTAACTTTTTACCATTAACTGTGGTGTATCCACTGACAGATTTTTTTTCCACCCATTTATCTTTATATATTCAAGATTTGTTTATATTCATATATCAAATGTTAGCACCAAAACCCAGAGAAAACAATCCACAAAATAAAAGCAAGGATTTCTGGACCGTGAGTAAGGTTTCTGATATTTCTGTCCCACAACAACATGTTGAATAAGCCTGAATTTTGAATTTGCCCCCCTTGACACCAAAAGCTGGATACGCTGCTGACCATAAATTTCACTTTTTTCCTTCAAAATGGCAAAAACCTTATGGGCAGTGCTGAGCAAGGCCACTGTGTTCTATGATTTGCTAACTTACTTTGCAATGACAGGGATGGACACAGCATTGGCAACTGCCTTGATGGCTTCACAATTCACAGAATGCTGGGGCCGCTCCACTTTGGTCCGCCCATGTACGGCCAAGGTAGCTACCCCCGTGCTCTCAATGGTGTGTGCTAAAGCCAAGGTGTCATCCATCTAGGAGCCAGAAACCACACATGTCGCATTTCTATATCAGTCCTCACAACATTCTCTGTCTTTGTCAGGCTATGCACAAATCATATAACTTACCGATGGTAAAAGCCTGATTTTACAAGTGACTGGTTTGGAGATTCCTTGAACTAAGCGGGTCAGGATCTGTTGAGTCAAAAAAGCATACCCATTTAAAAGTTTCAGTTTATGATTCTCTTGGATAAGAAGCAACAGCTAGGGATTAAGTCTACTTCTAGAACCATGAATGACCCAGTAAGAAATTGGCTTACCTTGTCAATTTTGTCTGGTTCAGTGAGTAAGGCTGCCCCCATTCCACCCTTGGTTGAATACTCCTTGGGACATCCCATGTTGACATCAATTCCAGCTACGTCATTCTCCCTGAATGCAGACCAAACATCACAGGGTTACATCCCAAACTATTTGATTTCCGACTTACATGTACACTACAGAAATCTTCTTTATCAAAGTAAAATGTCATTATCTCCAAATAAGACTTTCAAAATTACCTCCATTGTGGTGGAATGGAAATATTTTCTCAAAACACTGTGGAACCAGGGTTCGATGGAGCCAAAATTGAAGAGAAATCTTCCAGGGTGGTGTTTTAGTCAACTTACACAAGTTTAGCAACTCTCAGTGCTCTGTCGGGATCAGATGTTCCCATCTGGAAGACAACTTTATCTTTCTCTTTATCACATGTTCGGAAGACCACTGTCCCATTTCGTGTCACAAAGTCGACTGTGCCCAAAATATCTGGGTTCAAGGGAGATTGAAGAAACATGCGCAAATATAAAAGATGACCAGGTGAATCAAAATGCCACAAAAACAAACAAATGAAAAACCTCTGCTAGCTGACTGAATGAAAACTTGCAATATGTGTTGTTAAATACGTCACTGTATGTATATGAAGATATTTGAGGAATCCTTAATCCTTAATTTCTTAACGTTAATCCTTAAACCTTTATTCTAGACATGAAATTTCAATCCTATTCTCTCCCATTTGATAATATATTCCAAGTATCTGGAAAACCAGAATTGATTTCTTAAACATTTTCTACAGAGCAAGGTCTGGGCATATTGATAAAGTTCTCACATCACATTGTATGCCATGGTTGATGTTGACATGGGGAATGAATGGAGAAAATACACGCAATGGATATGCACTGAGTAGAGAATGAGGTTTAGAGGTTAAATGATCCATTCAGCTTCTGTGTGAAGCATTGATAGCTAGGAATGGTGGGGGTTTTATTGGACTTGAGAGATGGATGTGGAATGGTCTGGCATAAGCCAAGAAAAATGAGGGAATGCATCATTCAGGACTTCTGATGTCATGAACTTTGTGTCTTTTTCCAATAACTAAAAACTGTACGTCTTACCGTTTTCAATTCTCTTACACTGAAGCATTTTGTGGTCAATCAATTCCTGCAAACAAAATTACAAAAATGCACAATTTACTCTGTAAACTTAAACCCAGCATTTCAAAGAGAAAAGTTCTCCTTAGCTAACCAAACTTTCTACCAAGGGAGCTTGATTGGATCTAGAGCATCTTGTTAAGAAATACCAGGTTGACTTTAAAGTTACTTAACAATTTGTTTAGTCTGTGACCTGGCTTTGCACTGTCTTACCAAAGTAAAGAACCTATAACACTCTTTATCAATAGTTTCATCAGTTATTTTTGAGCAACTACATGTACTTGCATTTGAGTCATGAGATATCGAGTCTGAGTCACTTCTCTCGAGTCTGAGTCCGAGTCATCTGGGTTGAGTCCAAGTCATAAGTCACAAAGGTTGAGTTGAAGTCCAAGTCACCTTTATTATTGTATTGGAAACCCTTTCCAGGTTTTGCAAATGTTTCATTTTTCACCACAGCTTTCTCGGATTTAATGAACTGGAAATATGTGTACATGTATGTCAAATAAACCATGGAAAACGAATAAACTATGACATAAAGCCTTTTGATCTACATGTGATCCGTATGCCTTGTCCTTTGTATCATTGAAATAAAAATAAGCTTCAACAAATATAGAGCACATTTACAAAGGGTTGCTCAGGGCAGGTTACTTTTGGAGTAGAAGTCATGACCAATATTCGTGCTTTCACATATGCACAACTGACATTCCTTGAATCAGCAATACTAGTGATCCAAAACTATTGCTTGGCAGGACACCAGTCTGTGTCCAACAAGAAAAGTCTGATGCCGAATACATCATCGCATATTAATGTAGTACTATCAAGTTTGGTTGGCAGGGTACATGTTTCAGTACATGGATTTCCCTAACCAATATATCGGCAACCACACATGCACCTCAGCCGCATCACGCACTGCTTTACTCTGTGGAAAAAAACAAAATAAAACAACACAATGATGTAATTTCCACTGAGTCACGAGTCAGGCAGTTGAGTCTGAGTCTGCGGCCTTGAGTCCGAGTCATTTTTCGAAGTGACTTGAATCAGAGTCATTAAAAATGTGACTACAGTCAGACTTGAGTCCAAGTCACACAAGTCTGCAACTAAATTACAAAGATTTTCTGAGGTGGTATTTCAAGTGTTGTTACCTCACAGTACACAATGTCAGCTCCATAGTCCAAGGCCAGCAGTCTGGTTGGCAATGTGCCAACCCGCACCATTGGTGCAAGAATAACCTTATTTGCATATGTTAATTTGTTGCCCATGGTTCCTCCTCCTGATTTAGAATCCTGTGACATGGTGAGATTCTCTCCTTGCAATTGAGAAAAAAAGAAACATTTAAGACCCATCTTGCTTTAGAGGGTCACATGAAAGTCACATGGAATTTACTGGAGGAAAGCTGTTTTTGGTGGTATGATGCATAATGATAATTTTCACTGAAGAACTTTTGGAAATTGGAAGCTTGAATAATTACAGTTTACATACATATGCATGCAACACGTGAGAAATATTATACATGTACTCATTGGCCACCTTTTGACATCTTTTGAACCTCAAAGACGAAGGGGTGACAATATGTGGGGAAGGGATTAGAGATGGGAGGGTAGGAAGACAGGTTTAAAAGAAGGGGCCTCTCCCCATTTCATGCAGGGAAAAAAGTTTTTCCATGATACTGTTTTTCTTAACGTGGTGGCCATGGCTGCCTCCAACCTGTAAGTGATCACGTAAAATAAAGCTCAAATCATCCCAAATCAATATCTCCAAAGACAGCTAGTTCAACTTCCTTACACTTGTTAATGATTTGCATGTAAGTGTTTTTAGCTCTATGGTTATACAGTAGTAGTGTAGGGAGCTCACTTGTGAATAATTGATTAGGCCTTTACTTTCTTGTGAACAAATTGGCTCATAAGCCTGTCATGTGGTGGCTATGGAACGTGTCTAGAAAGTTGCCAAAAAGCACAGCCACAGGGCCACTGCCTGGGAAAATCTTCAAACCAAGTGTATTCCCCTGCAAAACATGCCTCCCCAGGGCCTTCTGAGGTAGCCTGCAGACTGATGAGTTTCTGACCATTGCTGTTGGTGTGTTTGACTACTTTTTTAATTGTCTTCATTGAAGTTGGTACTGGGTTTCTTTTTCCTCTATTTAAATTTATCAATGACACACGGCTGAGATAAATAACCAACTGAAGCAGCTCCACTGGAGTGATCGTGTCATATCATCATTTAATCGAGGAGTTCCCTGCAGAGGTACCTCACCTCACCCACCTTCCGGGACTTGCCCAGTAGGACCACGTGGTTCTGACAACACTCTGTCAACCAACCCCCATCATTACAGTAGGTAAAAAAATACAACATAGTCTTGGGAAAGTGGCCAAGGAGAATGGAATTTTTTCCCAACAACTTTTTGTTTTTAAGGAAGGCCTATTACATGTATGTCCCCAAAGCCAACCCTGTCCTTGACACATTTGGGGCATGTCAAACTTGGACATACCAAATCTCAGCAGAATGTATAAAAAGAGTCAAATTAAAGGGCTTTGACGATAATGTGCGCTACAAGTATCTTGCTCACAGGGGAAAAAGAGCATGCATTGTTGAGAATGCAAATCAAGTTTTTGTGCTTCTCAATGTTTTGTAAGAGACCCAAACTGACCAAAATGATAATCATAATTAACAAATTCAATGACCAAATCAGTAAGTACATGTACAATAGTCGCCACGTACATGTTTCCTTTTCTCTACAACAATTATAGATCCAATGCTCATTCATTTATGTTCTTCACCATCCCACATAAACAACTAACGGGTCATTCCATTAAAGTGTTCACTAGGCATGATATAAGAACTATATGTAGACTAGCTTGCCACTGCTTTTTGGCTAGGGTGGTCAATTATTGGAACAATCTCTCAGAATCCCTTGTATCTGCACCATCTGTGGCATCCTTTGAGAATAATTTGACAGTGTTTCTTATTATGGAGGAAAGGTGTAATTGACCAAGTAACCAAATAAATAAGTAAGTAACCAAGTAACGAGAAAGGTTCCATGTATGGACGCCAGAAATTATTCCCTACAGTGATATTATTAGCCTTTAGAAAGCAAAAACATGACCAGAAAAGTTCAATTCCAGTTGGGACGGGCCTAACTACGGGCCTAACGACGGGCCCAACTATAGTTGGGACTGATGCTGTAGTTGGGGCGTAACAACGTCCAACCTGGGCTAGCTAGCTAGGTGATGTCCGTATGAGTCGAACTCTTTTCTAGCTGACCTTGGTTTTAATATGGTTTTAAGTTCATTTCTGTAGAGTGGGCTTAAACTTTCGTACAAACTTCAAAAGCCTACCTCAGTTCAGGGTTCGACCATTGGAGGAATAGAAAATATATGTATGCACCAGTTGGGGATTTATGATCAAATTGCATCATAAATAAAACGTGTGTTTGTCACATTGTACGTACGTACATACATTGTACATGTATCGTGGACCTACCTGTGAACTGTTTTGTGCTTTATGTAACAATTAACCAAACAGTCGTCAAGTTAGGAGAATGAATGCATTTGGTCAGTAGCTGTTTCCTGATTTTAGCTTCCAAAGGCTGAAAATAGTCGTTGAATATCGTGGCATAAGAAGATGGCGCTGCCTAACAAAAATAAGTACAGCGTCCTTCTCCCAACATATAACGAAAGAGAAAACCTTCCTCTGATAATTTGGCTGCTCGTCAAGTCGTTCACAGAGAGGTAACATTAGTGTAGCACAAACAGGGCCTCGTTCCAAGCCTAGTCCTTGCCTACCCTAAGATCTGTGGGGTTCTCTTACTTAAAGTTTGAGCACTGACCAAGTCATTAATCATGCTTACTCCTAGTCCTAGCCCCACTACTACTAGTAGTGTGGCACAGACTCTCGCTCCTGATCCATCCTTAGCCACACATCCGTATGCGCAATTTCGTGTCGGCGTACTGAACATTTTCAGCGCATCCACTTGTCATCATGGGCGCAATTTCTTTTGCACACGAACATGATCCTTGACCTTTCCGTTTTCTAAAAACCATTTATTGAATGATTTCACTCACGTTATTCAGGTATTTTCCAGTCTTTTTGCCTTTATCCATTCAATCTAACGGGCTCGCTCTCATTCGCCATCTTTAAAATAAGGTCGTTGATTATTACGTCACTTGATCCCTCATCGTCTCGACGGCTCTTCCATGTCAAGACATACATGTACATCTATGTCTTGACATGGAAGAAAATGTTCAGTATGCCGACACGAAATTGCGCATACGGATGTGTGGCTAAGGATGGATCGGGAGTGAGAGTCCGTGCCACACTAGTAATGGGGCTAGCTTACTCCGTGAGTCAGTGATACTCTTTTTAGGAGGTATAGATTAAGCAGGTATGCTATCAGGGGAAAATTTGATTTAATAGCTTTCTTTCTTAGTGTGACTGAGGAGACAAGGTTTGTGGCGTCTTAACGCTATGGGGTTTTGGAATTGAATTTTTGTGGTGAAATAGTTCACAGCCGTAAGAAAGCTATTAAATCAAATTTTCCCCAGTCAGCATACCTGCTTAATCTATACCTCCTAAAAAGGGGATACATATCGAAAGTTTCAGAGCATGAGACGGAGTATTTTTGAAAAAAATGAGATTTTTTTCACCAATTTCACACTTCCACCCATTGACTGTCACTCCATTTGTGTTTATCAGACTGTGCATGCATTGAGCCCACCAATGACCACGCTTGCTCTGTATCTTGGCTTGACCATTTTCGATAGCAGGGGATAACATCACACACGGTGCAGTACATGTCATGCGTCTCGCCCGATGTATGTTTCCAGGTCATAGCAGCAGCTAGGACCGTTCCACGATGAAAACAACACAAGATGTCATCCCCTGCCACCAAAAATTGATGAGCAAAAATCTCTTCTTTTTTTTCAAAAATACTCCGTCGCATGCTCTGAAACTTTCGTTGTCCCCTTTTTTGGAGGTATAGATTAAGCAGGTATGCTGACGGGAAAATTTGATTTAATAGCTTTCTTGCGGCTGTGAACCATTTCACCACAAAAATTCAATTCCAAAACCCCATAGCGTTACGACGCCATGTAAATCTTGTCTCCTCAAAGAAACACAGAGTATCCAGAGTTAGTGACTTAGATTTCTCGAAGTAGGGTTCTCCCACTATGCCCATGCTACGGGAGCGCTGCGGACGCGTGACGACGAACCATACCATGTGATGACGCCCACAAGTCAGGGGGCCAGGGGACCCAGTTTTATGGGTAACGTCCATGACCTTGTAGTTGCAAGATCCCTCATGAACCTTTTCGCTAATACTGCATGGGTCATTTAGCTCAATTCTCATGTTTGGACATCCAGGAACTTCTGTACATTATTGAATAGCACAAAGGGTAAATTTGCCCCTTTGCCATTTGTTAAAAGTCCATAGTGACATCATGATCAAGTGTTTGGGCAAATTTGCACGTGTTGCGTAATGTTGCGACTCGACTCTGTGGGCATGGCGTGTATAGACACCAGATGACGCAGCTTGCACTGGACTGGTGGATGGCCTATCAGGCGTCATAACCAACACAGTGTGTGGTTATGACAACGATGCGGCATGCATTATGCACGATGGCGCAGTGCATGGTCCGCGATGCACTGGTGCTTCGGCTACACCGTACCGATGATTATTTGCTTTTCTGCCAGGAAGGGACATGGTAAATCTGTCCCCCGGCCCTTTTTTCTTTTTTCCATTTTGGAGAAAAGTGCACTTGTTATGAGTCAACTTGTCCCAATTGACAATTTGCCCCCAATGCATGTTTAAGACCGGCTAACCATATATTTATTCCCTTATTAATGAATGAATATTTTCTTTCTCCACTTGAAGCAAGCATGACTATGAGATCATCATTATTGATGATGGAAGCCCAGATGGTACACTAGAGGTTGCTAAGCAACTGGAAAAAATCTATGGAAAGGATAAAATTGTAAGTGGAACCGTATTTTGCAAAACGTAGCAGAATTTTTGAAATTTTTGTCCTGCATGAGCCCCTTTTTGTTCTTGTTTCATTGTTAATCTACCACATGACGGTTTCAGGTTTTGTAGAAATAATGAAGCCAGAAGGTGAAGACTTGTCTTTCACACGTGTTGATTTCTTTTGTATATCTCTTCCCTTTATTCAAGGTTTTGAGACCACGAGAAAAGAAGCTTGGGTTAGGTGAGTTTTATTCGTCCATATGTCTATTGATAAGTACATGCATAGTGTCAAAACTTATGCACTCAAAGCATTACTACTAGTCTTTTTCCAGATAATTTCAGTTGAATGTAACCTTTCATTTCCATGGAAAAATGACATAATGTTGCACCTCAGGCTCAGCCTGTATGATTTCAATTCTCAAGACTCATCAAATAAGCATTGTAAGAAAGGAAGGTGGATCCAGAGATATTCCAACTACATGTATATGCAACAATGTCCTGTGTTAACGTTAATATAAAATGCATCTTAGGGTTAGAGCTAATGAATTACAAGTGCACCATGGGTAGAGATGCAGAATGAAGAATGGTATTCATTTCACATTTTGAAGAAGGCAAGAACAAATGAACAGCCTAGCCTAGTCTTCTCTTCACATGAGATTTTGAATAGTTTACGCTCTGGAGTTAATGCTGTGTATCGACTCTATCTGCAGGCACTGCTTACATACATGGTATCAAGCATGCAACGGGTAACTTCATCATCATCATGGATGCCGATTTGTCACATCATGTGAGTCAGCTGTAAAAAGAGATGCGGTAAAAGTTGAAAATTGCTATGGGACATGGACACTTCAGTGCCATTTTTTTATCGACTGTGGAGACATTTTAATGGTGGAGTTTCTGCACTATGTATACACAGCTTAGCTTTTACACCAATATGCACCTTAACCCCTTCGCGCCGGGAATTTCTTCCCGAAAGCCGACTCCAAGAATTCCAGCCTCGCTTGGCCAC